CATCAAGAACTACCCTAAGCCGTAGCAACCTCACGCTGCAGCAGCTTACCCGTAGCGCCCATTGTCTCAATCAACCGCCCACGAATGTGGTCTCCAACAACCGTCTCAACTCCAGACCCATCAAGGGCCTTGGCATTCAACTTCAGATTGCCATTGAGAAAAAACGCAACACTGTAGCGGTGCTTGTCGCGGTTGGTCAGCACGCGGTGGCGGGCGCTGCGGTAGTACCCGCCCGTGTACTTTTGCATCATGTCCCCCATGTTGACCACAAAGGCGTCCTCGACCACGGGCACGGGCACCCACGACTCCGTGGGCGGGTAGTACACTTCGAGTCCCGTCGTGTTGGGCTCCTGCAGGATGATGGACACGCAGCCAAAGTCGGTGTGGTCGGCCACTGCAACTCCCATGTTAAGCATTTGCAGTAGTATATTTTCAAAAGTTTTTATTGGGGATATTGGCCTCACCTCCAAACTGGCGGGGATCCTGCGCCTGCACAGGGCCGTAATGCAAAAAGCGCATCGGGATCGAAGGCTTCTCCAGCAGCGAGTCAAAGACATTGGGCGGGCAGCCCCATTCCTTGGGCAGGCCAAGAGCAAGCATGTCAAGGATGTTCTTGACCAGCGTGAGCATCTTGGCCTGGTACGCCATGACACGGTCTTGGAACTTTTCCTTTGGCAGGCTGGACGGCCAGAGATTGGGGCCCGTCGAGAAGGTGCCGCAGTCCGGGTCGTCTTCTGGCACTTCTCTGCCTACCATGAACGTCTGCCAGACCAATGTCAGCATTACACTAACATCAGAGCCAATTTGATTCGCACCTCCTTGGTATCCGGCAGCAGGTGCTTGTGGTGGGTCTGGATTCCCGGCGGCTCGTAGCCCCTGAAGGAACGGCCAACGGATTTGTTGATCCAGACCTCCATCTTCTTGTCCTCGGGCAGGGCAAAGAACATCTTGTTGACATCCAAGGCCTCCTCTAGGGCGTGATGTGGGATGCCGTGCCCGACGAGGTTGAAGAAGCCGTAGGTGTGGCAGGCATTGCTCACGGCCTCGACAACGGCCAGCCGGGCCTCTTTGGATGAGGTGCGGTCTAGGAAGGCGCTAATGTCCACCGTGGGGATGGCCGCAGGCTTGGAGGTATCTGCCATGGTGGTATTGATTGTGCTGTGTATATCGTTTGAGTAAGTGGCTCGACTAGTGAGTCGTGGTTGGAGCTGATGGTTGCTGTGGACGGAAGTAGGAGGGCTTAAAGCTTCAAGTTTGCAGGGCACAGGGGGTAGGCCTATATCTATTCGGATTACCACGTCATTGGCCAGGGCTATACTTACCAGAGAAGTGGTACGACACCGGTCCCTGCGGTGAGTTTATTGAGGTGGCCAAGTACCGAATCTTGGGACCATCTTTGTTTGTCCGAAGCAGCAAAATAATAGTCGAGAATCCAATCATAATGATAACGGTTGTCTGACGGGGAAACCCGCTTCTACAAGATATTTCACTATCGTACGATATTCTAAACCACCGAATTCTGGTTCTTCTGAACGCGAAAGTTCAAGTTGGAATGGAAGGAATAGTATGGGAAGTAGCTCGATTTACAGCAGTCCGAAGCCCGCGGAAGAGATCCAGACAGAACTGCCCCAATTTACCGGACTTGCTGCTTGTACTCTGCTCGCACCTTCATGATATCAACCCGGCTTACATCCATCTTCCAAAGCCCCATTCCATAGCTTGCAGCACATCTACCACGGCTGCACACTATCCCTCCTCAAAACCCTCAACGGCCACGCCTCAGCATCCCTACAACCCTCAACGACATCCGCGCAAAAATCCGCCCCAATCTTCGGATCAATCGCCCCTATCTTACTCTTATCCCGCCACTCACCCGTAGCCCTATCATCCCCAAGCCCCGTGTTCAAAAACCCCGGCGAGAGATCAAACACCAGCACCCCATCATTTTTCAACAGCCGCGCCCACTCAGCCGCGAGCATGTTCATCCCGGCCTTGCTGACGCGGTACGCAAGCCACATGGCCGGCGGCTTGGGCCAAACGCCGGCGGGAGCAAGCGCGTAGCGTGCGCTCGTCCCGCTTGCGTGCTCGGTCAGGGATGAAAGGCCGCTGGTGATGAACAGCAGGCGGCGGGTGGAAGATGGTGAGGCGAGCAGCAGCGGCGCAAACGCCGTCGTGAACAGGTGCGTTCCCGTCACGTTGACGTCGTACGTCCGGTTCCACCCTTCGCGCGGCGTGAGTTTGCCTGAGGCGACTGATGTGTCGAGGTCGGCGCCTGGGTCGTTGGTTAGTGCGATGTTTCCTATGGTGGAACTAGTGTGGGAAGGACTTCACCGGCATTGTTGACCAGTATGTCGACTCGGCCGAACTTCTGCTGGACTTGTGAGTAGGCTGCGGCGATGGACTCGTCCGACGAGATGTCGATCGAGAGCGGCTCTGCCGTGGACATGCTCTCTGGTGAGAGCTGCTCTAGCTTGGATATAGCATCGCTTGCCCGGCCCATGTCACCCCGGCATCCGATGAGGATGTGGTAAGGGTTTGGCCGGGCGAAGAGAGATTTTGCTATCTCGAATCCTGACGCAAATGGCAGTCAGTACTCAGTAGTTAATAGTTATGTGGAGCTTGGATGCCCAATTCTCTCGTATTGACGACTCACCTAGGCCGGTGTTAGCACCGGTGATCAACACCAGGGTTTTCGAATTTACGGATGCCATTTTGGAGGATCAGTTCAGGTTACAAGCTTACAGCTTCGGATGTGCTGAGACTTGGATACCTAGTGACAAATGGAGCAACTATAGCTGCATAATAATGGAAGTAGCAATTGAATTGCTTATCTGGTATCGAATCGATGTGGTATGAGTGGCGCGTAATATCAATTCGGCGACTAAACTGCCGTGCTGCATCTGTATACTCGCCGAGGCGAATACACATACTTCTAATCCCTGGTGACTCAGCTTACGCTGCCGAATAATCCGACTCTATCTAGAGTTCTAGACTGGACAGAATACAATTAGTGCGCGTAGACTACTTCTCATTTGAAATTTGCAGAGGACTGGGACTTTGTTTGTCCAGACAGAAGATATGTAATTGCCTTCCATTAGCTGTTTGCCCAGTGGAAGATGGGATATACACATCGACCCGAACCCTCACCGTCCTCCACGGCCATTGAGGTTGGAAGCAACTCTTTTGTGCCTGATCTCGCTGGGTTACGCTTTCCAAGTAATATTCTCTTCGATCTAATCAGAGTTCATTCCATTGATTTCCAGTGTATTGCTCTGAGTCAGGGCTGGCATCGACGATAGGCGGGGAGGGTGATCCAAAGGAGGCGTTTGCCGTTTTCTTGATTGCTAGCGGAAGGCAGCATGAGGGCAGCACTTAGCTCAAAGTAGCTCAGATGCGCCGTGATTATCTAGCATTGGTCGAGATTTCCTCTTCTGTATGTGACCTGTTGGCTGCCTGCCTCTTCCCGTAAAACAGGCAATTGCAACCCCACCGTTGTCATCCTCAGCCCAATGACTGCCATATGACGTAGATGTCACAATCAAACAAAACCATCTTTTGAAGCTTCAATTCTCACGTCCCCACCGATAGAAAAGCTACTGTCTATTTTCAATCACAGCACACCATTCATCCGATACACTTGCCTACATAGCAACCCAAACAATCGAAGCACGTTACTCTCCCAGTTCACACCCCAACTCCAAAATGGCCGCTCCCGGGGCAAAGCCCATTGCCACGACCAACGAGGTGATCGAGAGCGCTGTGATCCGCGCTCCGCTCTCGTTTGTTTGGCACTTCATCAAGCTGCCCGATTTCTCCAAGTGGTGGTCCGCCATTGACAAGGCCGAGCATGTCAAGGGCACCAGCAGCGAGACCGACGTGGTTAGGTGGACCTTCAAAGACGGCAGCGTTGTCGAGGTGAAGCAAGATGAGCATAGCGTACGTCTTTCCAGCGACTTCGTCGGCAATTGAAGTGGGATGACTGATTGGATATGCCAGAACCTCGACCATTATATCACATACAGCGTCATCAACACCGAGCCCGAGCTGACCTACTCGAGCGTCGTGAGCACGATCCGCTGCTGGCCCGTCACTTCCGGCGAGTTTGAGGATAGCACCTTTGTCCGTTGGACTTCCAAGTTTGCGAGCGATGCCGACGTTGGTAGGTCACGATACGTTACCCTTAATCCATTAGGAACCGAGATGCTGACTGATGGATTCAGGCGTCCTCGAAGATGCCAAGTACAAGCGCCGGGATGCGCTGAAAGACCTTGCTGCTGCGGCTGCTCAGATGGCCAAGGAACACAACAAGTAGAGGCTCAGCTCGTTCGCCATTTCGAGCTTGCTAGCCTGTCAAACTGTGTGAACATCCTCAGAAGGCACAACGAGCCAGGAGTGGACTGAAGATGTGAGCTAAGCGGTAAACCCACACAGAGTGGTATGATGTATTACTGTGCGTTTTGAAGGCTCTGCAACCACTCGTCAAGGTGATCGTTCGCATGACTGAATCATGAACATATCATCTCATCCAGTTCTTTCTATCCTGATATCAAAGCTGCCTCTCTATCCACGGGTACCAAGCAGATGGGTAAGGCCTATGACTCCCACACAGCTGACCGGACTCGATAACCTCGAATAAGGTACCTACAGTTTCATGTCCACTCTCAGCGTGTCTGATCCATAATGTCTGCCTGTCGCATGAACAAAATTCTGCAGTCTAAGGTCTTGCAAGCATTCTACGAAGTACCTCTCTTAAGCCAGAAGCATGCGAAAACTCAAACCCCGTCTATGTAAACAACCCCTTAACCCCTCTAAGCAAGGAACCCCATCTCCCTCCACCCCCTAACAAACCCCCTCGCCAGCTCCTCACTAACCGGCCCGAGCCCCGCCATAGTCGGCGAATGCTCCCTCGACCGTGCCGTGGCCATCAACAACCCACCACAGCTCATCCTGACAAAATTGCTGTCCAAAAAATCCACCAGCATATACCCCGGATTCTTCCCCTGCGGGCCATTATCCTCTTTCCTTGGCCACTCCCTCACCCGGCGCACCCACTCGTCAAACGGGATTATCCCATTATCGTTTATGGATGAAGAGATGCCCATCTCATCCGCCAGCACGCTTAACATGTCCCGCCAGGACTGCCGGATGGGATTCTCAATGTGATACACAGGGTACATCTCATCCCCTTGATCATCAGACCGCAGAGCAATCTCCAACAGCCCTCTTGCCATAAGATCGCAAGGCGTCCAGCCCAGCGTGCCCGGCAAATCGGGCAGCGCACCAAGCGTCTGGGAGGACTTGAGCAGGAACGGGACATGCTCCATCGGGTTCCAATAATGCCTCCAACTCCCAGTAGCACTGCTGTTTGAGTTTGAGTTTGAGTTGCCAGCAATCTGCCCTAACCTAACCACCGTCCCTCTGAAAACCCCCGGAAACTTATGCACCGTGACATCCATCATCCGCTCGCAAATATACTTTGCCTCGCCGTACCCCGTCGGCAGGACACTTTCCACCGGGACACGCTCCTCTGGCACAACCGGGCGGCCGGTCCAGAGGGGGTGATGCCCGACTGTGGCGATGGAGGAGATGAATTGGAACGTGACCCTGCCGGGGGAAGTGTTTGTACTGGTTGTGCGGTTGTTGTTTTGGTTGGAAATGGCAAGGTCCCGGGCAAATCCCAACAGATTCCTCATAATCCTCAACTGCGGCTCAAACCGCTTCACAGGCCATTTCGAGTGCATCAGCCATGCATTGTGCACAATATGCGTCACGCCGGGGACATGGAGGAGGGCGCGGTACTCGGCCTCGGGCAGGCCAAGGTTTACCGGCTGGGTCAGGTCTGTTTCGTAAACATGGATTTTTGCCAATGCCTCTGCAGGCAGGCTGACGATGCCCTTCTTTTGTAGAGCCTGCAGTTGCCGGTCGCGGGGGTTTTGCTGCTTGCTGAGCCGGTTCAGGCAGATGACTTTCCCCACGTCGCTGCGCAGGGCGGCTTCGGCGACTAGATGAGTGCCTAGCCCGCCGGTGCCGCCTGTTATCAAAACGCATTTCATGCCATCACCATCAGGCCGTGGGTGAGAGGTAACTTGTGTAAGGTCCGACAAGCCCTCGTCAAACCCCTGGGTTAGATCACGCACGTACTTGGCCACGAGTTCTTCGCGTGCTGCGCAGTCGGGGGAAGCATCCGGCTTGCTCAGGCAGCCATCATGATGGCTGGTTGGGACGGGCAATCGTTCGTGTTCGCACCTGGTCAGGGGGCAAGGAGAGCGTCAGAATCTGGATTGGAATGGAAACTCGTTGTATCGAAAAGAAAAGCCTCTACACAGTAGGTACAAGTGAAAAATCTACCCCCCGGCCTGACCGTAAAAACCGAGAAACAACTTCAAGCCAAAATCCAAAAGCGTCACTTACCTACTATTCTCACTGCCATTCCCACTGGCCGCAGCCACAATGACCCTCTGGATCGCACTCTCCGGCCTCTCACCATCCGTCCAATCAACACACCCAAACCCAACACCCCTCAAATCCTTCTCCCACCTAGACTCATGCGTCAAGGCGTGTCTCCGGCCGTCCTCAAACAGCCACCACCCCTCAAACAAGCCAAAGATGAGATCGACCCAGTACGGCGTGCGCGTCATCTCCATCATGACAAGAAACCCATCATCCCGCAGCACTTTTCTTACATTCGCCGTGCTCACAGCGATCGACTTTGTCGCGTGAATGGCATTGCTGGCAATGACAAAGTGCTGCGTCCCCTCGAGGTCCTTCTCAGGCGCCTTCTCAATGTCGTGCGCCCGGAACTTCATCCAGGGGTACTGCTTCCCCCACGTCTTGCGCGCGGCCGACACAAATGATGGGGCGAGGTCTGTGAAGGTGTACTCAACAGGCACCTGCAGCCGCGCTAGAAGGGGCACGATCCGCTTGGTTGTGCCGCCCGTGCCGGCGCCCATCTCGAGGATGCGCAGGGGGTTGCGACGGCTTATGCCGTGAGGGAGTTTGCCGCTGAGCCGGGAGAAAAAGTCCTCCATCTGGGCGATCAGCACTCGGTTCAGCGGCCATTCGGCGTACCAGTGGCTGACGAGGTTGCGGCCCTGGGTGCTGCCGAAGATGAGCTTAACACCGTCCGTTTCCCCGGAAAGAACGCGGGCGAGATTCTCCCCGGCGTAGTATGTGAGCTCGTTGGCGGAATGCTGGTCGGGATGGTCTCTGTTGAGCTCATCGTAGATATCCCTGCTGCGGCGCTGCGGGAGCGGCACGGCAGTCCTGGTAATGACGCCGCTGTCGAGCTTGATGATCTGCGTTTCGGCTTCGAGCATTTCGTACAAGTACGTCACAAAACGATTATGTTCTTTGCCGTGTGGAATCCTCGTAAGCTGCTCTCCGGGGGCGGCATTCCGAAACCCAGCACCGAGAGACTCAAAAGCCTCAATCGTCAGCGCCACCGTGAGCTCATTCTGAAGCGGCAGCGACTGGGAGACGTAGCTCGTCTGCCCCATTTCAGCCACACGACCGTCGGTCAGCCTCTTCGTCTCATTGAAGGCCTCCATGACGGTTGAGAAAGGGAGTCGAAGCTCGCCCGCATCCGGCTTCAAGTCAGCCTCGTGGCCCGGGTGGTCCTCCTTGTCCGATTCCGAAGACGGGGTGCTTAGGCTGGTATTGGTTATGGCCGTGGTACTGTCTGCCGAAGACAGGATGCTGGAGGTATCGCTGTCTGAATCCCCGCTTGACTCCTCGGCCGTGATGCCCACGGCCTCGGCAACGCATTTGATCAGTCCTGGCATGTCGGTTACCACGAGAATGGCGGCTTCCGGGAGCTTCACTTTCAGCGTCGATTCGATCTCGTGCACCATCTCCATGCCGGCGAGGGAGTCGATGCCCAGGTCAGCTAGCTCGCTGTCGTCCTTGATCTTATGTACTTCTAGCCCTGAAAGATCCGCAATGATGGCTTTGACCTTCGATGTCAAGCCCTGGAGCCCTTGGTCGGCCGTCTTTTGCGTCTTGGCCTTTTTGACGGACGCCTTAGGTCGACCTGTTGACGCTATTGCCGATGGAGGCTGAGTGGATCTCGAGATGCTGTCAAGCACCGGCGGAGCAGGAACCGGCGGAGAAGCTGCTGCTGCCGTCGCCACATCCTCACCGCGTGATGCCGATTTCTTGTTGATCCATGAAGGTTCCGTTAACGATGTGAGCAGCTTCTCCATGGAAATCTTCGGTATCTTGACATAAGCAATGCCAAGTATCACCTCAACCAGCACCCCTGCCTCCGCATCAAAGACAAAGACATCCGTCAACGACAGCTGCTCAGACGGACGGTGATGCACCGCAAAGACATCAAACTTCTCAGGCCTCTTGTCGGGAGCATGCAAACGAATCCACTGATCAATCCCATTCGCAAGATAGACATGGCTTTGTCCGCGGTCCACGACACAATTAATCCAGAGACCCCCAAGCTGACAGAAAGTATCAGCTAGGTGCGGATCAAACCAGAGCTCCGGGTCCTGATTAAGCCGAAGGACATGTCCCGCCGTTTCATTGCCGCGCACAATCATTTTCTGTAGCCCGCGGAACTCGTCACCGTAGTCAACAATCTCGGAAAATAGCCGGTAGATGGTGCGGTTGCCCAGCACCTCATCGATCTCGACGCTGCCTTGAAGCAGCTCGGAGGCTCGGCCATGTCCAAACAAGCGTTCGTAACGTGCCAGCTGGCGCTTCAAGTCCGAATCGTCAAGATTGCGGAACTGGATCTTGCCGATTGTGTGCACCATTCGCTTTGTTGTGCTTTGCTTCTGGTCCTGGTACGCGGTGCTAAAGACCTCAAAGTTCCACTCGCCATCTCCCCCGTCTCGGGATTCAATGGTGACTTCAATCCATGTCGTGCGCGCCGAGTTGGCGCAGACGGGCGACTTGTATTGCACATCCTGGATCTGAGGCTGGCGATGGGTTGTGCGATACTCCGGGTGGATGCTGCAGATTGCATCCATGACGAAGCTAATCTGCAGCGTGGCGGACAGGATCGGTGCCGTCTCCATGGTAACATGGCCCGAGAGGAGATGTTTGTATTTGTCGGTTGCTGTGTTGACACGGAAGAGTGCTTGATTCTGGGCATCACCATCCTGGAACCCACAGAAGGTCAGAGGCCCTTCTGGTTGCTTTTCAGCAACCGATGCCGAGCTCTCGGTCTCGTCGCCTACCGGCCTTGGAACTACTTTGGGCGGCGCCTTGAGCTCCATCCAGTGCCGAGCGTCCGGATCAAATTGGTATGGAGGTAGGAGAAGTGGCTTGAGGCCAAGCTGGTGTCTCCTTTGTAATCCATGGTGAGCCCAGTGCTGTGTCCGGAGACCAGCCCTCCACAGTGACATGGTGACATCCGTCAGTTTGTTCCATCCATCGTCGCAGTTAGCCATGTTGACGCCATGGAATGTGTGCGTCCCGTTAACATGTGCCAGCGCTCGGGCGGCCATGGAGGTTATTGTCGAGTTGGTACCCGCTTCAAGGAAAATGCAAGGGCCGGACGAGTATCGCCGTGCCAGACGCTCGACGGCGTGGTGGAAGTAGACTGGTTTGCGCATGTGGTCCGCCACGAAGCGAGTTGTGAACTCAGGCTCTCGACTGCCCTCTTCTGTCGCGAGCTCCAGGGGTATCGCAGGCTTGCGGAAGGTTAAGCCCTCAGCGGTTCGCAGGAGGTCGTCATATATCGCATCGACCAGCACCGAATGGAATGCGTTCGTCACTTTTAGCCTCTTGGACTTCACGGTCTTGTTCTTCGCAGAAAGATCCTCGAACCGAGCAGCCACATGGTCAATCGCCGAAGTCGGTCCTGCAAGAGTAAAACTCCTCGGTCCATTAAAACAAGCAATGGTGGCAGGCTGATCCGCATGCCCGACATTGACATCAGCCAGCACCGATTTCACGTCACCAAGATCAGCTTCAACAGCCATCATGGCGCCTTTGTCGGGTCCCCAGGCGTCCCGCACAAGCGCGGCCCGGCGCGCGATCATTTTGACCGTGTCCTCCAACGAGAGTATCCCCGCGATGCAGAGCGCCGTGAGTTCACCGAAACTGTGGCCCACGAGGGAAGCCGGTCGTATACCCGAGTCAATCCAGCTCTGCGCACAGGCATACTGCATGGCGAAAAGCATCGTCTGCAAATGGACCGTGTCGGCGACTGGAGTACGCTGGAAGATGGCCGGGAAGATGCTCGGACACGCGAGAGACTGGATAACGGCGTCGACACGGTCGAGATGCTTGCGCAGAATGGCCACGCTATGGTACACTTGGGGATCGAGGCCGATGTACGAGGAGACTTGGCCTCCGAAGCACAGAATAACAGTCGGTGCCGCCGTGGCGGATGCTGAGCCGGTGGCGGAGCTGGCATTCTTGTGTGAATCAAATGCTGCCAAATTTTCATCCAGCTCTCCAAGGGAACGTGCTGTGAATATCAAGGTTGAATCCAGGGTACGGTTGGTCTGGTAGGCAAGATTGTAGGACAGACCGGCCAGAAATATGTTGCCGGCCGATCGAGCAAGATAATTTCGAAGGGCCTTGACATTGCGGGCCAATGCCTTGTTATCGAAGCCACTGATCCAGAAAGGATATTTGGCCCCCGCTGGCATCTGAAGTTTCTCAGTTCTCTTCAGATCTGGCGCCTGCAATACCACAGCGGACGCGTTGGATCCCGACGCGCCATAGTTGTTGATGAGGGCAGCGCGGAGGTCGGCATCCCATGGCTGGGGTCGCGTGGGGATGAACATCCGATCAGCGGGCGAGGCCTTGATTGCCGGATTGACTGTCTCGAAGCTGGCCTGCGGCGGCAACACGCCCTTGTCCATCATGAGCAGTACCTTGATCAGGCTGATGACCCCAGAGGTACACTCCATATGGCCGACAAGCCCCTTCACAGAGCTCACCATCAACTGCTTCCCAGATCCCCGGTTCACCTCTCCGCCGAGGGCCTTGCGGATGCTATCGTACTCGGCGGGGTCTCCCACGGCTGTCCCGGTTCCATGGGCTTCAACGACGGAAATCTGCGACGGCTTAACCTTTGCTTTGGCCATCACATTGGTGAAGAGGTCCCCGAGCGACGGTACATTGGGCACGAATATGGGAGTACAGTTTTGGTTCTGCTGGACGGCGGAAGCGGCGACGACGCCCAGGATGGGATCTCCATCCGCGACGGCTTTGCTCATCTTCTTGAGGAAGACAGCTCCGACCCCTTCGCCACGGCAGTAGCCGTCGGCCTTCATGTCAAAGGGCTTGCACTGCCCGGTCGGGCTCAAAAACGAGCCTGCTGCCAGATTCTGGAACCACTCGGCAGATGTCATGACGTGTGATCCCCCAGCGAGCGCGCCGTCGCATTCGCCCGACAGGATAGACTGGCATGCCTGATGTACCGCCACCAAAGACGAGCTACAGGCCGTGTTGATGGTGAGCGCCGGTCCAGTCCACCCAAAGAAGTGCGAGACCTTGCCCGAGATGAAGCCCTGTAGGTTGCCCGTGGCAGTGAAGGCGTTTGCGGCGTGGCTTGCCACGTTGTTGTCGTAGTCGCCCAGACACACGCCCACAAAGCAGCCGATGCGCTTTGGGCCTTCGAAATGCTGCTGGAAGTACCCGCTCTGCTCGACAGCCTGATAAGCCACTTGCAACAACTGGCGCTGCTGCGGATCCATCGAGGCGCTTTCGCGTGCGCTCTTCTTAAAAAAGCGGTGATCGAACTGGTCATGGCCCTCAATCAGATTGGCGAACCACTTACGGTTCATGTTGGCATCGGTTGAAGTGCGAAAGGGGGTATCCTCGAAGGAGAACCGAGCCGGGTCAATCTCGCGATGCTGTGATCTGCCTGCCACCAGGATATCCCAAAACTCCTCCAGGCTGTTAGCGCCAGGGACCTTGCATGACATGCCTACGACTGCGATGTCACTGTCCATCCACGTTCGCTCGGATCGTCTGTCTGCTTTGACTTTGGTCGTCTGGTCGCTTAGGTGCACCACTCGAACGTTGGGCGGGCCCCTCAACGCCAGGGACGGGGGCACACTGCGCTCGAGGCCAAAGCTGAGGACCTCGACAGCGGCACCATCTTCGCCATTGTCTTGGATGGCAGCACCAAAGGCATCAAACCATGAGGGTGGCTCAACGAGGATGGACCGGAGAGCATGAGCGTGCAGCGGCCCGTCTTTCAACAGGGCCGCACTTGCATCGTTTGATCGGGTAGGGGTGGCCAGTGAAGTGGCGTGGGGCAGTCTGAAGGCATTGTGTGCATTGCAGAAGGCGATGAGTTCGTCGACGATGGCTAAGTTGGCTGAGGAGTGGAAGCGTCCGTAGAGGCCGATCTCTGACGCACTGATGCCGGCGGCATGCAGACGGCGCGTCAAGTCAGAAATGTCGTCGGCACCGCAGGTGATGGTGGCGCGGTTGACATCGTAGTAGACCGAGACATAAGCCTGATTGTACGGAAGGTGTGTCAGAAAGGTAGATGGTAATCACTGAACAGGGGAGTAACATACCTTTCCATTCTCCTTCACGATCCTCTCCATCTCTCCCCTCCCTTCCGCCGAGCTCCACGCAGCACTGAGGGACCTCGACCGTCCCACCCCAGACACTACATCCTGACCATCAACCACCAAGCCGGCAAGCATGCCCAATCTCACGGCAGCCGCCCCATATCTCTTCAGCTCATCCTCGTTGTGTGCCCCCGACACGGCGGCGGCGGCCAACAAACCCGTGCACAAGCCCAGCGTCTCCCGTCCATGTCCATGACCAGATTCTTGTTGTCGCCTAAACTCGTCATACTGCGCCAACTGAGCCAGAACAACAAGCGGGATCAACACCGCGTTAGGCAGCGGAAATGCCGTATCCAGGGGACGGCCTGTCATGAAAGCCTCTTCGAGATCAACCAGCTGCTTCAGGGCGAGACGGGCCGTCGGTTGGTGCAGCACCCCTGAATCGGCGAGCGCGCTCAGCGCCGTCTCGCAGGCTTGCGGGAGTGTCTTGACAGCATCGTAGAGCCAGCTGTTGCTCTCGGTCTCCACCACTGTCTTGCGAAGCTGTTCGAAGCTTGACTGGTCGAATGAGAGCGCCAGGGAGCCGAAGAGCAGGATGTTCCGGGCGGCGCTGGCCCCTGTAACCTGGTCGGTCATGTTGAATCTTGGCCAGGGTCGGTCTTAGGAGTCTGATTGCTCTTTCCAGATACGTACGTACGTCTGGTTCTGGGGAGATGGGCGAGGCAAAGATAAGTTCTTGAATGTATCCCGCTGTCCCACGCTTCGCCAGGTTCGACCGGGCTCCATTCAGCCCTTGATAGTATCACAACTACTCGGCTCGCATCTCTGATAACGGCTGCTTTTTTCGGCTCGTCTTCGCAAGCACAGCCCGGGTAAGCACTCAACTGCCCCATAATCGGTATCGGACGCAATACCGCGTTGTGTATTTCGGGTATTTTCCGCCCATCCTCCGGAAGATATTCAGAATAGTCTCCGCGCCGTGACCTGATTTCCCGGAGAAGCCCGCCACATCCGGGGGGAAATAGTTCTGACGTTCCAAGATGGCCATGGAAGAAAAATACTTTAATGCGAGCGAGTTGATCGGACAAATCTCCCGCCTTCGCGCTGTAATCCGCCTCTCAAGCTGCCAGCCCGCATTCCCAGTCAGATAACCGCCATTGGCCAAACACAATGGGCAGTGTATTCCAAGACCAAGACGCAGCCGCCCCGCAGATTGCCATCGTCGGCGGCGGCATCGTCGGTGTAATCCTTGCGCTCGGGCTGGTCCGGCAAAACATGTCGGTGCGCGTCTACGAGCAGGCGGCCGGCTTCCGCGAGGTCGGCGCCGGCATCGCCTTCTCGGCCTGTGCCCGTCGATGCAGTTCGTAATAGCTCATTGCCGTAGGGGTCTCGTCCATTGGTGCTGACCAAGTGTGTCCTTTGTCACTCAGTGAAACTCATGAACCCGGCAATCGTCGAGGCTCTGAGACGTTGCGGCGCCGTGTCCGTGTCCGATGCAGATGACGAGGACGATTACCTGCGCTGGATCGACGGCTACAACCAGCATCGTGCCGATGACCCCACCTACCAGAAGCCCCTGGCTCAAATCGGCAGTGCTGGCTTCAGGGGCTGCCGACGAGACCAGTTCCTCGAAGAGCTCGCCAAGGACGTGCCGGCAGAGGTGATCTCGTTCGGCAAGCGCCTTGAAGCCCTAGAAGAGAGAGAAGATGGAAAGGTCCTGCTTACCTTCGTTGACGGCACAAAAGCCGAAGCCGATGCCGGTAATGTCCCTCGCAATTCTTCCGCACCGCCCCTCCGTGCTCCTCCCATTAACCCAACCCCAATGTAGTAATCGGCTGCGACGGCGTCAAGTCCCGCGTCCGACGCCACCTCTTCGGGCCGACACACGAATCCTCCCACGCACAATATACACACAAAGTCGCCTACCGCGGCCTCGTGGCCATGGACAAGGCAATCCAGGTCCTCGGCGAGTGGAAAGCCAACAATTTCCACCACCACGTCGGACCCGGTGCGCACCTGACGCACTACCCCGTGGCCAACCACAAGATGCTCAACGTCGTCGTCTTCCTATCCGACCCGAATCCATGGAGCGGCAGTGACCAGAGCAGCATGGTTGCCGAGGGCACCCGCGCCGAGGTTGAGGCTGCGCTGGGGGGGTGGCATCCGACGGTGCTGAGCCTGGTGCGGCTGCTGCCGGACAAGCTCGTGACGTGGGGCCTGTTCGACCTGGGTGAGTTCCCGGCCCCGACGTACACTGCGGGCCGGGTGTGTCTGGCCGGAGACGCGGCGCACGCGAGTAGCCCGCACCACGGCGCGGGGGCTTGTCTGGGAGTGAGTAGCATTGCATTCGTGGCTCCGATCTACCTGTCTTAAGGTCCTGTACTGATTGGTGTTGTCTTGCAGGTCGAGGATGCCCTCTGCCTGAGCGTGCTGTTGGGCAAGGTGCGCGAGACGGCGGCTTCTCCAGGCGGGAATCTCGACGCGGCGCTCAGAGCTGCCTTTCAGACATTCGATACGCTACGCCGGCCACGCACGCAGTGGCTCGTGAACAGCAGCAGGCGCGTCTGCGACTTGTATCACCAGTCCGAGTGGGCCGACCCCAAGCGCTGGGTCAAGGCGGGCACATGTTTTGAGGAGATCAGGGATCGCTCCTACAAGATCTGGCATTTCGACGCCGATGACATGGTGCGCCGGGCTGTCTCTATGTATAAAAGGAAGATTATAGGGAAGGCCGGAGGGCATGAGCAGGAGAACGGAGAGAAACGTGGATACGTGCTCTAAGCTGCCAACGTTAGTGGATGAGCGACTTAGCTGTTTGCTAATGTCTTGGAATCCTGCAAAACCAGCGCTGCTTCGTAGGTCGGGCCTTCCATGATCTGGCCATGCTCTGGCCATGCTCTGGCCATGCTCCATGATCTTATCGTAGCAATTACCCTCCAATGGTTGGGCACGAGCTATTAGCATGGACTGCTGTGGATGGACAAAGTATTGTTGATATTTCCAAAGTTTGCTGAAAGGAGGTTGGAGGTTTGGGAGGAAAGCGGTTGGGGGCGAAGAACCTACAGCGGGGTTCTGTTCCAAAAATAGAACTGTTCCCCGGGAAAGGCCCTGGCACCACTGAACGATCGCGGTGCGGTGTGCATCCTCGAATGGCGCAATCTCGGCAGCAGTGGCTTGTTTGCCCTGTGGCTTTACAAACGCTTTGGACGAACTCAGCCCATGACGAGCTAGGGGACGATGATGCTTGCTCCGAAGTTGAAAGAAGGTAATAATGCGAAGCGTCATCCGATCCAGCGAACAGCGAGGCATGTTCCAGTTATCAGGAAGCATCATCCGAACTCAAGAAAAGGTTACGTACCCCGTACCTTGGCGAATGCCGCAAGAGTTTGCGACTAGCCACTCGTTCTCCCTGCCACATCAGGACAACCGATCCCCATGAAATGTGGCAGCCTGAAATGCAAGGGGCCGGGAGGGATGGGACGAATCCTGCGTACCGTTCCCACGTTCCCAAGCACCCATCTGCAGATTTTTTGGGCAACGTTTGCAGTGTGCTGATGTTCAGGGCAGCTGCGCGCAACATTGTGTAGGCTGGGCTTTTCTGGTGAGCAAGTGGTTCGCGCTCAATAACTAGTGTATAGAGCCCACAGTGAGGCTTGGGATGGTGGCAGACAGCAGTTCCGGTTTTGGGGAAGCGGGGGAGGGTGCCAGACCACGACCCGCGGGCTCAGCCTCAAGAGGGACAGCCTGGACAGGGGAGTTAGCAGATCAACGACGAGGCTCGAATCCCTCCCCAAACACTCCTTTGCCCCATGCTTTTACCCATGCTGCACCGACGCGGCGACACCAACAGGCTTCAATTGAGGATTTTTTTTTCGCCATTGTCTGTTTTGTTTTGTCTGTCGTTGTCCGCCGTGTCCATCATCGCCATCACGGTAACACCGCAATCCACGCTAACTAAGAAAGCTGAAGACGGTTGGCGTGCTCGTGCCTCTTCCGTTCGGTGCCAGAGCAGGAATTGCGCGTAGGGTCCTGGGGTCGGCCCAACTTACACGTATCAGCGCGACCTACTGGTTCGCGTGCTTGACCGGCGCCCGAACACACCGAGACGACCTACCGCCGGTCCCTACGCACACCATGGTCGGGTTCAGGAGGTCAAGGGCTCTCCCGAGCGCAGCAATCGCCTTTATCCTAATCTCAGCATCGCGGGCCGCCGACACTCTCGACTTCAGCTTCTACCCCAAGGGCGCGATAAGCTGTCTGGACGATGCGGCGGAGAAATCGCTGTGCCAAAGCAGCTCGGTGGAGTTGACGAATTCCTGTTTATGCCGAAACGGCGGGGACTTTATCACGAACACGGCGGCTTGCGTGGGGCGATCGTCCCGGGACGACCTGGCAACCGTCTACGAGACGATGAGAGACGCGTGCGCGAATTCGAATACCCCAATCAACGTCAGCGAGGACGAGTTTATGGCCGCAGCGTCTGCGGTTGCGACGACCTCAACAACCTCATCACCTAGTAGCACCGGTACGGCGCCTGCTGCGCAGACGCAGACGACACCGGGGGGGACTGAGCAGGGCAGCTCGGGGCTGTCGACAGGAGCTCTGGCGGGGATAATAGTAGGCGCGGTGATTGTGAGCCTGGCGTTACTCGGAGCCCTAGCCTTCTTCCTTATCCGCCGCAGGAGGAGACAGGGCGAGGAGTCGCACCCAATGTTGCCCCAACAACAGATGGGGCACACCTCTTTGGCGCCCATGGGTGGGTATTACGCTAGCCCACCGGATACGGCTGGTTTGGCGAAGGGGGACTGGCGGCAGTCGCACATGTCCTCAGATGTCCGCGAGAGCGGCTTCAATTGGGAGTCGCCGGCTCATCTTTCGTACTCGGCAAAGTATCCACTTGCTCCGTCACCCCCGCCGCAGGAGTTAGACGCCGGTGAACAGCGCCTGCTAGGGACGGCCGAAGCGCCTGCTGAGATGGAAGGGGCGGAGCAGGGGCCTGCTGAGATGGGAGGGACGCCGGTCGTACCTCCGTCTTTGCAGCCGAGGAGTGAATGGCATCAGTCACCGAGGTGAATTATGACAGAAGCGAAGCGTTTGCTTTCGCAGCGTGACGGAAGCGGCGGTGAGAGGAGGCTGGGCGAGTTCAACGCTCAACTTGACTCGACCGAGACGACCTTCGAGTTGCAGACCAGCACGAGCACCCGGCTGTGTAGGTAATGGGACTTCCTGCTGTTAAAGAGAGGCTGCGGCGGAGTGGTTTGTATATACCTGAGTCTGGGCAGTGTTGGTTCTTGGATGCGTGGTGTTTATGGTCACGAGGTAATGGGCGCTTGAAAGATCTTTTCATCGGGGATATTTTTGTAGAGTGCCGAAATATCGAGTCTTATACGACGGGTCCTCGGGTCGACTTGGAAGTCCCGTCAAGGCCATATTCCGTTATTCCATTCCAGCCAGATGCTATCACCAACTGAAGTTACCAGCAAATGCCTCTAGTTCTCGAGTTTCAGGAGGAGAAGATTGCCTTTGTCAACTTCAAATTGGAGGGTTAGGGTCGTATTACGGACCTTTCTGATTGCGAACGCGTTCTTCAAAATCATTGGGGGCTGCGTTGCATTTCTGTGGACACCATCCATTTCGCGATGCTTTCAAGAACACAAGTTCCCCTAGGCACTTAGCCGATGACCCGAGTAAGCGAGATTTGCTCACTTACTCAGGGGATTCGGGAAGATTGAAGTTCGTCAAAATGGTATGTACAAGAATGTTGATCTCCCCGGTTCACGTCGGGAGAGAGTTCCATCGCATGTCGGGTTCATTGCTCTGAATCAATATCTCGCAATGGTTCAATCTCTTCGTTCAGTCGCGCTCTCGGCGCTATGCATCCTCCCCTACACCACCACAGCCTACCAGGACAACGTGAAAGCCGGTCCGAACGCGCTCGACGAGTGCGCGGCATGCCCGCGCATGTACACCTACCTATACCGCTGTCAACAAATCTCGCAGCCTGGCCGGGTTGGAAACGAGGTCCATGATTGCCTCTGCGACCGCAGCGACAACGGCTGGTATGCCTACATCGACGCCTGCGCGGGCTGTCTGGGTAACGCCGCCGAGGGCGACGACGATTTCTTCAGCAGCATGCGCAGGATGATGTGGACGACCTACTCGGTTTGCCGCGACCAGAACGGTAACATCACCAGCGACGGGTTCAGCCTTTGCGCAAACAATGGTGGCAATTATGAGGACTGCTTGTCGCTCAAGGACAGCTCGCAGGGGGAGACATGGGTCAGCTTCAGGGCGTTCAAGCTTGTAGGAGCCACCGACAGCAACCACACGCAGCTTCTCAATCTTGCCGAGGTGAAGAAGAACTTGACTATAACCTCGACAACCCTCGAATCGACCTCCGCAACGACAGCGACTGCATCGGACACGGCGGCTGCGACTACCACGACTGCCACTGGGACGGACGGCCAAGCCGCATCGACCACGACTGGTTCGGGGGGCACAACGACCACGACAGGCACGTCCTCGGCAGCTCGTTTGTGCCAAGGATCTCAGGCTGGATACGTTTTGGGGGTTTTGATTGTTGCGGGAATGGTTGGGCTGGTTTAATTCGGATTCCTGTTTATAATTAGTTACTCTTCATGTGATGAAGATTTCTGATGCGTCTCTGGGTTTTGTGCCGTCTCTGCACTTTGCACCCCACCATCTGGTTGTGGGCCCCTGAATTTCAATGAAGGTCGGGCCCATGGGTAGTTGCCACCCCGCAGTTGTTTAGTGGACCGCTGCGGCTAGTTTTCGGTTCCACAGCCGATTGCTCCCCTCAACACAGCGCATCTCCAGACCGATCTTTCCCCGCTGCCCTGTGCCATCACCCACCAGCGCCATCGCACCTGCGCAGCAGCAGTCGATCGCAACGGGGTTGCCCCACCCCTCAGGCAAGATCGAGCCAGTCTCCTGTCGACATTGTTTATGTGTGTCAGCATTCATTGAGTTCTGAGTCGGATGCAGATTTGTAGAGTTGAGTCTCGCATAGAGGATCACCTACAGAGGCTCGGGACAGGTCACGACACGAATTTCCGTCACCGCCAGTGACTTTACCTTGGTTGGCAATGAGCCACTAATGTATTCAGTATTGCTCTAACGTTTAGCTCCAAATCGTGACGCTTTCTTCGAATCATAATTGGCTCAATTGCTCAATCGGAATGACCCAGCGGCATCCCCGGGCCAGCGTAGCCCGCTCCGAGTCGCACGGCGCAATCATCAAAAAATTCCCGACATCAGACCGCCTCATGCCGGCCACGGTACCCGAACGGCCTCAATTGCCCTTTGTCTTTGGCCAACCAGTTTATTAAGTACCCTGGATATTGTCTTTTCGACCAAGAGCACTCTCTTCTACATGTTGTATGCCAGTACGGAGTATCCTTGTCCTTTTTTACTAGAGCACTTTTCAGCGCTACGTACCCGTCTTCCATGGCCGCAAGTGCTCCCGACACAGGGTGGTGGGCCCATCTCTGGCCCTGCTATAGCTGCTGTCAACAGATCTGGGTATGTGTCACCATATCAGAAGCTTAGTGACCCCCAAACTGATGGACGACGGTCCTAGATCCCCTCCTTGGGACAGTTCTCTTCACAATGTCTCGGTGTCGTCAGTCACATCCCGCTGTGGGTCGCCATGACCACGGTTGTACTCCGCTATGGCGTCGGGCCCATCTTGCATTGCTACCGCCCTGTCTGGCTACGGCGCTTTACAGCCGAACAGGATGCGTTGCCGGTTGCGGATGTTGACCAGGAGGCTGGCGACCAGTCCCCGCCCCTCAAGGTGGTTTGGACATCCTGGAACCGGTGTCTCTTGCTGCTTGGCATGGTCATCGCTGCTTTGGGTGCTATTGGCGCTGCGATCTGGCCAGAGCATGCAGAAGTCTACCTGACACCAGTTCTCCCAAGTGTAGGTTGGCTTTCTCGCCAATCTCCTCTCCTTTGTAGTACTAACCGGTTGAACAAAGTTTGTTTCGAGTCTTATGGTCGTGGTCGAGCGACCCAGGACAACCCCGGGCTCTGTTTTCATTATCAACAGCGCAACTACCATAGTAGAGCTACTTATACTTACCGTCCTGCCTAGTGCTGTTCCGAACGGCTGGCCACAAGCCATTGCCTGGATTGCTGGTGTCTTCCTTCCCCTCCTTTCGGTCATACTGATGCTCAACATGCCCATGAGGGACCCCTTGTTGGATAGCAGCAACATTTCAAGACCATTTACCCAGCCATCCCCAGACGTCCGGAGTCCCGAGGACGCCGTTACCCTCTGGCAATGGATGACGGTGTCCTGGATGGCACCACTCATGAAAGTCGGCTATGAGAGACAGCTACACGACGAGGATGTCTGGCTTCTCCCGTACGATTTCCATCATAGCAGGCTGCATTTACTCTTCCGTGAAGTCTCTGGCACTGTGTTCACCCGATTGCTGAAGGCCAATGGTCTCGACCTCGTCATCACGACGACCCTCGCAGTTCTAGAAACATCAATCGAGCTCGTGGGTCCCATCTTGCTCAAGCAACTCCTTGCTGCCCTTACTGCCGAGCAGCCCAACGTTAGGGCTGCGATTGTTTACGCTGGAATCACGCTCGTTTCCAGGCTTGTTCAAGCCCAATCTGGTGTGTTCAGCCTCTGGTTCCAACGGCGAGCCTACGAACGGTCCCGAGGGGAGCTCATCACCATGATTCACGAGAAGACGCTCAGAAGGAAGGCCTTCACCTTCTCCAGTGGCCAGGAGGCTCCTGAAGGAGCGGCGGAGCAGGAACAAGGATCTGGGTCAAAAACAACATCTGGCTCAGCGACACTCGCCGACGACGGGTCTGGCAACAAGGTAGACGCAGACCCCGATTCTTTACGCTCGAGATTCCAGCAGTTCAAATCTATGGTCTCCTTCAACTACTCAAAACCGAACCCGCCGAAGCCCGAGCCAATCCCGGCTTCCCCTTCACCGGAACAGACGCCGGCATCGACTGGCAAGATCCTGAATCTGCTCCGTAACGATGCATATGAGATTGCCCAGCGTTTCTGGGAATCTCCCAACATCGTCACCAAACCCCTCAGCTTCCTCGTTTCGTTGGTCCTAGTATGGCGCATCCTCGGCCCGGCTTCACTTTCAGGGATCCTGGTCCTCCTTACCTGCATGGCCATCAATGCGCTTCTGATGCGATTGATGCTCCACATCGAGCAGGTGCGTCGGGAAATAACCGACAACAAGCTGCAACGCACCAGCCAGTTCGTCGAATCCATCAGGCATCTGAGATGGTATGACTGGCAGGATGCCTGGCTGAGCAAGATCATGGAGAGCCGGAAAGACGAGCTGATACGCCGCGTCCAGAGCAATGTGGTCTTGAAGGGGATTTCGGCTGTCAATAATCTCGGGGCGTACCTGTTCCCCGTCGCGGGTTTCTGGGCGTATACCCTGGTAGAGGGGCGGCCGCTGACGGTGGACGTGGCGTTCCCCGCGCTGAACTTGTTCACCATGTTGCAAGACAGCTTGAGGGAGCTGCCCAATCTGGTGACGGTGCTGCTCAATGCCAAGGTTTCCATGGACAGGATTGAGGCGTTCATGCTGGAGCCCGAGAAAGAGGGTCTGGACAGAGATTTGGCATTTGGCGAGGGTGAAGGGCCGCCTGGTGAGCTGGAGATTATCTTCCGAAACGCATCCTTTTCGTGGCCTGGTTCGGCGAAAGAGGTGCTCAGAGATGTGTCGATTGCTTGCAGGCCAGGTTTGACGCTCGTCTGCGGCAAGGTGGGTATTGGCAAGACTGCGTTACTGCAGGCCATTCTCGGCGAGCTGGACCAGCACGGAGGCGAAAGGATTGTACCAAGCGAGGTGATCGGCTACTGCGCTCAAACGCCCTGGCTCGAGAGCATGAGTATCCGCGAGAACATCCTGTTTTCAGCCGTCTATGATAAGGCCCGCTTTGAGAAGGTCATTGACGCATGCTGCCTGCGAGATGACCTCGATCAGTTCAGGGCCAAGGACCTCACTCTCATAGGAGAGAATGGAGTCGGACTGTCAGGCGGCCAAAGAGCGCGTGTGGCGCTGGCCAGGGCAATTTACAGCCAGGCCCGCGTTTTACTTCTTGATGACCCGATCGCGGCCCTGGATCACCATACCGCAACAAGCCTCCTGGCTAATCTCTTCTCGGACAAGAACTCCCCGTTGACAGCTGGCCGGCTCATCATCTTTGTCACCCACCGTGTGGACATCGTCACGCCTTATGCGTACCAGGTCATTGAGATCGTGGACGGCGGTCGGGCAGAAACATTTGACGGGAAGGAGCTGGAGAATAACGAGGAAGAGCTCGAGCACCTGGCCGAGATCGCGAATACCGCCCCTCCCCCGCCAGATACAGAAGAGGATGAGCCCGTCGCTGACAAGTTCATTGAGGAGGAGCGCCGGGTTCATGGAGGGGTATTGGCCTCAGTGTACTGGCAGTACATCAAGGCTGGTCGACTGGGCTGGTGGTCCTTCATGATCGGAGGCTTCATCCTTTTCCGCACAGTCAGAATCGCCTACTTTTGGTTCCTAAAAGAATGGGGCGAGCAGTATCAGGATCCGCCGAGTGGCATCTACAGCCTTCATGCTGGAATGGGAGACTATGCCGAAACCTCCCAGCATGTGGTTATTTCGCAGAGCATTTTCCACATCTCAGGGGCCTCAACTAACGGAACGTGGCTCGACCTTGGACGGTATCTACCGGCTCCTGACCAAGATGTTCGGCCTTGGCTCGTATGGTTTCTGGTCTTGTCGGTGAGCCAGGTCCTGGCCTCAGCCCTTTCTGATGCCGCGCTCGTTGTCGTCATGTATCAGGCCGGGAAGAACCTCTTTGCGCAGGCCATGTCGCGAGTAACCAATGCCACATTCCGCTTCTACGATGTCACGCCAGTCGGCCGGCTGATGAACCGACTTACCTCGGACATGGGCACTGTCGACGGCCAGATTGCGGGCCAGCTGACGACGGTAGCCTGGTATACAATCGGCTGGCTGTCGGCTGTCGCGGTCATCTCGTCCGCAACACCCTTGTTTCTCGTTATCAGCGTCACCATGACAGCTCTTTTTGTGCTCACCTTCAACTGGTTCTTGCCAACCTCGCAGTCTCTTCGTCGCCTCGAGACGGTATCCTTATCGCCGCTCATGTCCAATTTTGGCACACTCGTCGAGGGCTTGACCACTGTTCGGGCTTATCGCGCCGAACCGCACTTCCAGAATCGTATCATCGCCACTACCGACGCCTTTCAGAAGATGGACCACTTTTACTGGTCGCTCCAAGCCTGGCTCCAGTACCGCTTTGACATTCTCTCAGCGCTCACCACCTTCATTCTGACCCTCTGCGCCATCCTCACGGGCCTCTCGAGTGGCACCGTCGGGTTCGTGCTCGCCTCGGCCGCCAACTTCGTCCGGTCGACGCACAGCCTCTGCCGCAAATACGGCGAGCTGCAAATGCAGTTTGTCAGCGTGGAGCGTATCGTCGAGCTGCTGTCGCTGGAGCAGGAGCCTCGCGGGGGGTTCCTGCCGCCAGCAGCCTGGCCCGGCTACGGAGACGACATTGTATTTGACAACGTCACGCTGCGGTACGCGCCCCAGCTGGAGACGGTCCTGCACAACGTCAGCTTCACCATCCCCGGCGGCGCCAACGTCGCCGTGACGGGCCGTACGGCCTCGGGCAAAAGCACTCTCGCGCTCGCGCTGCTCGGCACGCTGCACCCGGACCCTGACACTGACGGGAGCATTCGCATCGGCGCCGTCGACCTGCTCGACGTGGACAAGCACACGCTCCGCCGCAATATAACGTTTGTGGCGCAGGACCCGGTCCTCTTCCCCGGCACGCTGCGGGACAATCTCGATCCGTTGGGTGAGCGCGACGAGACCGAGCGGGCTGAGGTTTTGGAACGGGTGCTGGGCCGATCGGGGTCGTTTACCCTCGACAGCAGGGTCGATGGCGGCGGGAAGAACCTGTCTCAGGGCCAGAGACAGCTTGTTGGGCTGGGACGGGCCATGCTCCGCCGCAGTCCAGTGGTGATTATGGACGAGGCCACGGCGTCGATTGATGCCGAGACGGCGGCGTATATACAAAGGCTGTTGAGGGAGGAGTTGAGGTATAGTACGGTCATTACTATTGCGCATAAGGCGGAGGCGGTGGAGGATGCGGATTGGGAGGTGGTGCTGGATAAGGGGCGGGTGGTGAGAGCTGGACCCAGGGGGAGGCGGCGGGCCTGAGGAGAGAGGGGGGGGATAGACGGTTAGAGGTCTGGTGGTGATTGGTAAAAGCGATGGCTATGGTACCTTGCGTATGGGAGTTTGGATGGAAAAGGGGTTGGTCCGTCAGCGCGTTCTATTTGGTTTGACTTTGACGTCGTCTGTTGAATAGACGTGACAGTATTGGATTCCATACAGTAGATAGACGGAGATGCTATGTTTTTAGCCCCTGACAATGGTATTTGCTTCTCTTCGTACAGAGTGTTTGGTTGGTCTAACTTGGGCCTGCAATGCGAGTCTTGGATCCTGTCACTGTCGCGCCCAATTTCAGGAGCATCTACCTTCGTACATACCCAGGGAACGGCATCTGGTTTGATTTCAGGAAAGCGGCGTCATTTCACTAGTCCGCCAGATTGGGTGTGCTAAATTATTCGGAACTCATTTGGCCAGATACGAGATCATGGCTGGTTTTATGCGAACCCGATCATGTTCCCCAAGACCCATGGTCGAATGCTCACTGGCCTACCTACTGGTACCCGTGGCTCTTCAGTTCGGTTCCAGGTTGGTAAGGCTAAAGAATAATGGGCAAGCTCGATATTCACGAAGCCAGGGCAGTGTATAAGCCGACGGGTAGGTACGTCGCTTCTACACCATCTCGACGTCCGCCTCCCGCTTCCTGTTCTCGGACACTGACACTGACGCTGGTTAAGCGCCAGATATCATGATACGTCCCAAACCAGGAATTCAAGCTTTGTTGTAAGAAGAGCCAGGCTACTCCGTAGTTACTCAGAATACCAAAAATACCTCAACCGAGTCACCGACAGACGGATGATTACTGGCAGAGGGCACAGGGGTCCGAGCCGGGTCACGGTTTGAATACGAGGAGGGTTTCAGACTATTAGTGGTGTATCCGGGTAACCGCTGACCGACACTTACAGGTAAACCGTAAACAAGAACAGCATTGTTTGGCTTGTCTATTGGGCGTCCGCCGTCCGCTCATGATGTTGCGAGATTATAGGACATGGTGTAGTGTAGGTGCTTTGGAGAGAAAACAAAGCTTTGCGGGGAAAGGCAAGTTGCCGTCATCATGAGGGTCGGAATGCAGTGCCGACTGCCGGATGACAGTCAGGGGTGAACTTGGCAGCAATCAACCAGTTTGCCCACGCCTCACACGTGCAGGCTCTTGGCGGCGTCAGAGGATCTATGGAAAGGGTGATAGCAAAGCGCATTCTTTGATATGTTTGTTGGTGGACTGCAGGTCAATGGGCATACAGCTTTATGGTGTAGCAGATGTCTGATGTCGATGTTGGTCAGGTCCAAAGTCACGAGTAAAACACCTACATACCGGCATTGTTTGTACTCGACCCAACGCTGCGGTGTGGCTCTGCTGATCTCAGCGATCTGAAAAAGTTAATTAACTGTGCCGTGCTGTGTGTTACCTGATGCTGCGCCTTCCCTTCAATCTCCTTTGTGGCGTTCAGTCAGCAACTCCCCGTTTCACACAAATCATGGCGCCGCTGGGGATCGGAAGCAGGGCAATCTCCAACATCGCATTCGCATTGTTCTCCTGATTATTTCTTGCGCTCGAGTACGGAATATGCCATAAGAAACAGTGATTGTAATTCGAGATTACGGGATGACTCGAATGGCAATCGCTCTCGTGTTTGCTGCCCCAGCCCCAGCATTTAGGACAAACGGTTTTTCGGTTTCCAGGGACAGCGCAAGCCCAAGTTCACTGGACTAGTGGCTGCGCGATACCGTGGCAGCCAATCAAGCAATGCCCAGGCACACCATCGCGTGGTTGGATGCATGTGCTCGATGCATGTGGTCTCACCTCACTGGGCCAATTCGGCTGCAGGGACTTTCATCGAGTTGTGCCCCAGAAAAGAGAGTTCCAAGTGTCAATCGCACCTGCAGATACGTATCTATGTATCTGCCCGATATCCTGGAGGGTACGAAGTGCCGAGTATAGCGTAGAACTTCACTTACATGGTGGCGGGGCAGGGCGAGTCTTGCTCCCGACGTCACCTCGGTGTTCCAAGGAACAATGGGCAAAGCCACACTGCAAGGGGAACTTTTGCCCTTCTGGAGTTGAAGCGCCACAGATGCCCGCAATATGGGCTTGGCTACGTCGTATTAGGGCTCAAGCGCTAGGAAGGCGCGATGCTACCCAGAGTTCGCTCCACATTCGCAGTGCTTGGCCGCGAGAAGATTCCTTTGACGCCATTTGTCACCGAACCGTGGCTCCTTTGGCTTTTTTTTGACTCTCTTGCCACTTGCCGTGTGTGTGGGCCCGAGAGCCGGCTCGCGTTGCCAACTTGCCAGGGCAGGCAGCTCCGAGTGAACGTTACCACAGCGCACTCGACCTCGTATTCCCATGTGCCGCTGCATCGGGAAAGGTGTGGTGACTATGACCTGGCTCTGTTCGGGTTGGCTCGCCGTCGTCGTGTGACTGGTGAGGTGAGCCGAAGCGGCGCAATCGAGGGGGAAATGGGAAATAAAGACCTCGCGCCCGCTGTTGCTCGCTCAGTTCCATTCCTCTTCACCTATCAACTCCAAGCAACAATAGTAGTAATACGCCTTCGGGTCTCGCAGTCGCTCGTTTAGCCTGCATCTTGCTCATCACCCTTACGCTCGCTTTACACTCGCTTAACTAATCAACCACCGTCAAAATGCGCGCCACTGTTCTGTCGTTGGGTGCCTTTGCCCTGCTGGCATCTGCCCACACGTACCCCAACTGCGTAAGCAGCCCACTGTCACCGTCACCTTGTCACTTAGCCAGTCGCTAACAACAGATCCAGGAGTCAGACAACTGCTACCGCAACCTGATCGACCAGCGCTTCATTGGGAAGGCCAAGGCGTGGTGCCCCGAGTTCCTCTCAGGCACTACCACCGCGCCGTCGGCCATCCCCACAGAGTTCAACAACTGCGACGGCAACGTCAAGGCTGTCAGCTCTGCCTGCTCGTGCATCACCTACTCGGCCTCGTCGACGTCGACAGCGTCTAGCACGACGACGACCAAGGTGCCCGAGACGACGACGACCACCACCAGCACCAGCACGAGCACCAAGCCCGAGACGACCACGACCAAGACCACCACGACGGCCCCGCCCACGTCCTCGACCAAGCCTGACACCACCTCGTCCACGATCACCACCAGCAAGGCTACTACCACCACCAGCACGACGACGGACGAGGACGAGGAGTGCCCCGAAACCTCAACCTCCACCACCTCCTCGTCAACCAAGTGGACCACCAGCACGCTGACCACCACCACAACCCGGACCATCACCAAGTGCCCGGACACCGTCACCGCCTGCCCGTCAGGCACCAAGACGGTCACGACCGAGACCATCATCACAACCACTGTCTGCCCCGTCACCGAGACGACCTACAGCGCCAGCAACCCCATCAGCTCCATCACCAAGACCCTGACCTACAGCGCCAGCAACCCTATTGGCACTGTTACTCGGTCGACCACCTCGACGGCGTTCGGTACTGTTACTGTGCCCACGACTACCAAGCCCCGCCCTACCACCTCCGTGCCTGTGACTGCTGGTGCGCCGCGCATGGTCCAGGGTGTGGAGGGCATTGCGGCGTTTGCTGGCTTGGTTGCTGCGCTTATCTAAACTAGGTAACTATCAATGAAGGGGGTGGGGTTGGAGTTGATACGGATTCGTTTCGTTGTTGTTGTTTTGGTGTTCGCCGCCCCGGTGTATTGGGAACTTGAACCGGGGTCGGCGGGCCGCCAAAGGGGGTTAGAATTTTGATGAAGATGTTTTTTAATTTAATGCTGGACGGGTATCTCATGACCTGTGGATATGTATCATGACCGGACACTATGATGATGCATGCCAGATGCCGCTGGACCAAGACAAGATTCTTGTAGATAGATAGTACGGATAATTATAGGTACATGGATTGCTCGCTGTCGCGCCTTGCGCCTCACGGCAATCGAGCGTCTTGTTATCCGGAGATTGTTGGTGTGGTTTTATATGGTTTATGTGTCCTGCCTGCAATCATCCGCACAGGTGCAACTTGTTATATCGTTATATCTGTTGACTCGGTCATTTCCCTGTGACGGCAATTCAATTCCCAGAACCATGCTCATGGAACGGCTGTCGTGTTCCGGCGAATCCGCTGTGCTGTGAATCGTAACACATCGCTCATGTATGCGCAGCATCCCGTAGCTATAAAAGCTGTACTCCTGTTGGAAATACACAGTGAGGCACAAATCCAGGGCAATTTCTCAGTGGTGATTGACTTCTTGCAGGTTGCATTGCGGTCTGATTGATCAATTGTTGTTCAGCAATTTGCAACAACTCTGTAGCCTGTTGAAAGTGGCAGGAGCAATGGCATCAATTCCTTGTATTTCTTGTGGTTCGGGCTGGGCATCTCCAACTTCAACTTTAAGCCTCTCCAACCACAACAAAAACCACACCTTCTCCTAACGCTTTTCAAGCTGACGAAGCTAAAGCCCGAAAACGTGGCCCGGACCCCGGAGTTTATTCCCTATAACCCGCGGCAATTCGCCGACTGCGTGTTGCACGAGACTCGGTGTTGCGACTCCCAAGTTCCCAACTGTGGCCCCCATTGTTCAGGTTCCGGCTAGGGCTAGCTTCAATCGTACCCAGGTTCCAGGCCAAATGATTCGTCTGTGAAGTTTATGAGCGTGATCCTTCGAACAGAGGTCCCTGCGCTGCCGCGGATCATGGATGGCCAACATAAAGCTCTGTTCCCCCGCGTCGTTAATCCATACACATTAGCTAGGGATTCAAAGCTCTGTCAGGTTAGACGCCCTCGACTAATAACACGATGGACGCCTCTAGCTCGCAATCAAGCTCGGCGCTCGTATTGAGGGCGGTCGGCTTCCTCATCCTGCTTGTCCTCGCGCGATTCTTTCACCGCATGCACCAAGTCCGTACGCTGGTCAGGAGGTATCACAAGGAAAATGACTTGGTACGATCATTGCCGAGATTGAAACACACTGCTATGATCAATGGCTCACGAAGAAATTGCAGGAAATGTTACCGCATTCATATCTCCTGGGCCACATACTGGTCACAGCCAAGATCATGGCCAAGTATCCCAGGGACATTTACCCGTTGAGCGTGGCCACGCTCGTGCTGCAGCATTACCCGCATCTGGAAAAGAATGGCTTCTTCGTCATGGATTCGTGGCCGTTCGTCGAGCCCATGATCTACGTCTTTGATCCCGAAATGTCGGCCCAATTCACCCAGGCATACTCGCTGCCCAAGGCTCACATGGTCAAGTCGGAATTCCGGCCGCTGACCCAGAACAAGGACCTCGTAACGCTCGACGGCCCCGAGTGGAAGCGGCTGCGAAGCATCTACAACCCGGGGTTTTCGGCCAAGAACCTCATGTCCATGGCGCCTGTTTTTCTTGAGGAGATACGCGTCTTCATTGATCGACTCAGGGCGGCGGCCAAATCGGGCGAGGTCCTGCGCATCGAGGAGCCCATCACCAACTTGGCGACGGATGTTATCGGGCGTGCCGTCTTGTATGTCTTACAATTGCTCCCGTTCTTCCTCTCCTCCATTCATTATATCCAGGCTGTCTTGATCAATGGGGGCACCTAGGCAGTCATGCGTGACGGAGCGAGCTGCTGACTCTCCCCCAAAAGAGGGACGCGTATGCACTGCCAGACGCGCCACAACCCCTTTCAAAAGGCTCTCGCAAAACAAATCTCATGGGTCTGCCCCGAATACACGCCGCCTTCCCTACTCAAGCTCATCAACCCGGCTCGGCTGCCGCTGATGTGGAACTACAACCGCATCATGCGCAACTATCTGCTGCCCATCCTCAAACAAACCGTCGTCTCCCACCAGGCCGGCGACGGCGGCGCTGACATGATGAACCCAGCCGGCCCGGGCCCGGGCCCGGGCGACTTCAAAACCAAGACGGTCGTCTCCCTCGCCGCCAGAGCCTATCTCGCCGAGAAGAAGGGCGAGGGCGACCAGCCGCCTTCTTCCGTTACCGTACCATCATCCGGCCGAGACCGAGACGACGTGCAGCTGGACCGGGAATTCATCGACATGGCCATCGCGCAGTTCGTAATTTTCATCTTCGCGGGCCACGACACCACGGCCGTCACGCTCTGCTTCGCCTACCACTTGCTCTCCCAAAACCCCTCTTGCTTGGCCAAACTGCGCGCCGAGCACGATGCCGTCTTTGGCAGCCAGGACCGTGACCCGTCCCCGTCAGCAGCAGTCGAATCCTCGCTATGCGCCAACCCAAACCTCCTCAACTCCCTACCCTACACCACCGCGGTAGTGAAAGAAACCCTCCGCCTCTTCCCCCCGGCTGCAACGGTTCGTGAAGGCCAGCCGGATTTCTTTTTGCGCGACCCGCGCACGGGGAAGCGGTACCCGACCGCTGGTCTGTTAGTGCACCAAAACTCGTACGCAACACACCACTTGGAGTCACTCTTCCCTCGCCCGTTCGAGTTTGTGCCCGAGCGGTTTCTAGCGAGCGAGGGCGAGCCGCTGTACGTGAGGAAAAACGCGTTCCGTCCCTTCGAGCTGGGCCCTCGAGCGTGCATCGGCCAGGAGCTGGCCGTGATGGAAATCAAGATGATTCTGGCCATGACGGTGCGCGAGTTTGAGATTGAGAGCTGCTTCCCGCGGCCTGGGGAGCCGGGGGCGAGGGAGATTTTGGGGCATACTGTTTACCAGGTTGGGCATATGACTGGACATCCGAAGGATGGGATGCCTGTGCGTGTGAGGGTGAGAGGCACGGGGTGAAAGGGGTTGGCTGCGCTGCTGAGGGGCGGGATTTGGGCGGGTTTAGGCACGGTCTTGGATAGTTATTGAGCTGAGATTCAAGAGAAACCCAATTGCATATCATATGCTGTTGCCAGAACCTCCTCTAGGTATGTAAGGTATGCATTACCAATTCTGACCGTCTCACACAAACATGGGCATGATCCTCGCCCGGCTGATGACCCTGCTCAGCCGGTCCGCATATTCATAATCAAACCCCCTCTCCGCAAGATCATCCTGCGCCCAAATCGCTTGCAGCAACAGCCGGACATGCTCAAACGACCGTGAAGCCACGCTCTTCTCGGTCCGGGCGATAAGATCGAGCACAACGGCCCGCTGCTCGTCACATCGAGCCTCACAACCGAAGATGAAAACCGGAAACTGCCTCTCGCATGAACCAAGCAGCCCAAGGAGAGTAAAAGCCCTGTCGGTATGCTGCTGCGTTCTAACTCGCTGGTTGGCGGGTTGAAACTCAGACATGCGGTTGAGGTACACGAGCACTGCAAGCTGGTATAGTTCCATCGCCATTCGGGCATCGGCGTTGCCGCCGGCCATGGCAGCCAGGTCTAGACTTCGGATTCGCCAGTCGAGAACCCTCAAGTAATCTTTGTGGTCATTGGCATGTTCAGGGGACATGTCAGTAGATAAGTGAACTGCCTCGCACACTGCGGATAATAACCGGATAAGGGTGAATGCCGCTGGGGGGGCTTGGGAGGTCTATGATTGCTGTGAGACGCCCCGTCGTTTAAACAAGCAGACCCGATCATTTTGAAACAACGTACCTCGGCAGGGAGATCTCCTAGAATCGATGGTGGGCTAGTAGACGAGCTCGATGGAAAGCATGGATGGTTCCAAATCTCCAGGTCAACGACGGTGGTGTCTCGCTTCCAGTGTTGGAGGCTGAACCGGGCGAGGACATCGTTGTAATACACCCAATCTAGGAGGATGACTAGATCGCTATCTTGGGGGCCCTTATTGAGACCTGCGGCTTGGATGATGTTCAGGACACCACAGAGGTACGTGATCCATTCGCCAGAGGTACAGGAAGATTGGTGTATCTGAATTTGTTGATCAGTATTCGAGTCTAGCACGGTAGTAGGTATCGCCCCCCCTGACATCCGTAGATAGGTAGGTTTCACATGCCTCAAAAGAACACAGCAGCATCCCCGCTGCAACGTGCTGTATAGCCTCAATAGCTCCAACATTGCTGCTGGTCGACGCAACCCTCAAGGACCTGATGGCCGCAATCTTGTGCTCGCACGCTCCAGGATGCACATCGTGGCGATGGATCCAGGAAAAGGCGAGTAAGGACTGCAGCACGGCTTTTGCAGACGCTGTAGTACCGGATAGGGCGATCCTGATCAAGGCATTGCCCAGCTCCACAGGGTCGTGCCCAATGATGGTAAGGGATCTCGAGGCGGCGTGCTGGAAGTGCTCGAGCAGTTCATGGTCTTCGAGATTGATTTTCGCCGAGTTCCAGTGAAGCGGCAGGTCCAGAGTCGGCGGGGCGTACTTGCCCTTTGCGACCCGGTGAGCAGATTGGTAGTGCACCTCCATGTCCCCTTGCAGGACGTGGATGATACGCGACGCGGGAATGGGATGGCTGATTTTAACTCCCCCGTACGTGGAGGAAGGAGGCGATTCGCCCACGACGGCGCGTCGTCCGTCCCCAGCAAGAGGCCATGAAACTCGAAACGCTGGTCTTGCGCTTGACTTTGACTTCTGATGCTGCTCCTCGTTGTCACTGTCGGTCCTCTCCGGGCTCGGGTACGCTGCTGTCTTCATGTTTGTTCTGTTGGGCGAGCGACACAGGAACCGTCTTCACGATTCGATGTGACGACTACACATTTGCACCCAGTTTCCTATTCGATTGATATCAACCGCTTATCACTCTCTCTAAGATACCCGCTACCCGCTGTTGTTGTTGCTCCCATCGGTGCTGATTGCCTCATGTGACCCACTTGACTACGGGCGCCGGGGCCCACTTGCCCTCTTCCCAAATCTCAGGTTACACTGCAGGCGGAGTGGAGAAGTGGAGCTAAGCGATTTTGGAAAGAGATCATCGCTTGGCCTCCTCACGCCCCTCACTCAAAGCCACTGCTTGTTGCCAAAGTGCGAAACGTAATCACCACCATTGCCCTTCTCGATGCTCGCGTTCGCAATGACCGACCGCACCGCCGCCACCGACTGCTCCGGCGTCTGCGGGCCCTTCCAGTGCGGTGCATACTCCATGAACTTGGCGGCTACGGCCCCCACGCGCTGCTGCTGCCGCTCCGTCACTGCCAAAGTTTTGTCAGAGAGGCTGCAAAGCCAATGCTGATGGAAAAGCGAAAGGGGAAACAAAAGCAGTTCGGGTGGTGTAACGTACGGCCACTGAAGTGCCCGACTTCCGCGACGCCAGGGCAAACGGAAAGGAAAAGAATCCCGTCCTTCTTGTACTGGGCGCTGAACTTGGCAATAACCATATTGGCGGCCGCCTTGCTGACTGAATACAGGGGCGACGCCTCGAGGTCGAAGTTTTTGGTTATCTCAATGTCGCCATACCCGCTGGTAATGGTAATGACCTTCTTGACCTCGCCCTTGAGGATAAGCGGCATGAACAGGTTGAAAAAGTGGATATTGCCAAGGACGTTGATCTCAAAGAGGTCCCTCATTGTCTTGGTCAACTCCTCCGGACTGTCGCCCCTATATTGTTGTCCATGTCAGTCTGATTGTTGCACGAACCGACTTCCGGGGGAGCATACAAATCGCCAATTCCGTCGACAGCATCAAACTTTGGCACGTATCCCGCGTTGGCAATGAGGCAGTCGACACTGCCCCCGGTGAACTTGGCCGTGTCGGCAGCGGCTTGCTGTTGGGGTCGTATTGTACATACATCAGCATCTCTTCCCAATGGCGACGTCGAGGTCACTCACCTTCAAAGCGTTGTAGTCGGTGATGTCGGCTTGCAAGATGTGGATGTTGGACCGCGTCTTTAGGTCAGGGTCCTCCGACACCTTTTTATCCGTCTCGGCTTTGTTGCGGACCAGTCCAATGACAAGGCTCTCGGGTTCGCTCGAGTACTGGCGGAGAAACTCGTACTGGAAAACCAGACTCAGTACCTATCCACGAAAGAGCACGGTGATGGTACCTACCCCGAGACCCCTGGAAACGCCGGTGATGACGTATGAAGGCATTTTGTGTCAAGAATTGCTGTTTTGTTGCTGTTTTGTTGCTGTTTTGTTGCTGTTTTGTTGCTGTTTGTTGCTGTTTGTTGCTGTTTGTTGCTGTTTGTTGCTGTTTGTTGCTGTTTGTTGCTGTTTGCCGCTTCTGCTGAAGTGTTGAACTGATGATGATGGGCCTGGCGGTTGAGGAGGACCACTTCTGGGGTTATATACAGGCTGTGTTCCATGTCGCAACTTCCGCTGAAATGCGAGCTACCCAATTGACGAGGCCTCTCCTTCCATTTGTAACCATATCCGTCAGCTGACTCCATCCACAGCGCCCAGCTTAGGCGGTTTGGCAGTTCGATTTGCGGCTCGGATAGCCTGGTCGATAGCCCAGGATTATGTCAGAGTTGCCCAAATTCCAACGTCGAGGTTTACATGCATGACATCGTGAGCCGGAGACCCTGCTTACCAAGGAAGCAATGCTCCCGAATCCGTCGGCGCGGGACATCCCCGGTCTCCTGCACCTTGTTTGCCGGCGCGCTTTACAGCACGGGGACCGGTTATAAACCATAGCTCCGAGTTACAAGTCCTACTAGTATCAGTTTGGGTGTTGGTCGGCTCTTGGCGCTTCACGAAAACGGGTCTGGAGGTGGCAACGGCTAGATGTTAGGTTTACTTAAGCTAATGAGTGGTAAGCAGACTCAAGGGATGCTTATTAGGCTCTAACTGGTATGTAGTATAGTGGAGCGAAGTGGAGGATTGCAAATGCCGAAAGAAGTGTTTGCAAACGTTGCAACATCACTGATCAGGGGTAACAAAATAGCAAAATAAACCCCCCCTTCCCACCCCACTGCCTGTCTTAGCCACCAGGACAGGCAGCCAAACTACCAGCAGAGAGGATTCCAGAAGAAAAACTCGCAAAACGACTCCCAAAACGCATCGCCATTGGACGGAACGTAGCCACCGCGCGGCGCACCTTCGCGCGCGGCGTTGCAGCGGCGACCGGGGTTGCCGGGCATCATCCCCCCGTATGCCCGACCATCCGGGCAAATACAGAGGCACTCCCAGGCGGCGCCCGGCACCCGCAGCCGGGAGCAATACCCCATGCGGCAATCCGTGTAGTCGATGGCCGGAACCGTCGGACCGACCGGGTCGATGCATCCCGCCGTGGGGCACGTGCCGTCCGGCGGCGCCGGGGTCGGGACACAGGCGCAGTCCGCGTAGCGGCCGGAGCGGCAGGTGCCGAGGCCGCCGCCGGACACGGGCGCCGCCGCGTTGCAATCGCCAAAGTCGCAGCGCTTGAGGGTGCCGCACCCACCCAGCGAGCCCGGCACCGGATTGCACACGGCACCCGCGGTAGGCGGCCTTGCATGTCGCCACGCCCAGCTCGCGGTTGTCGTAGGTGCCCTCGCACCCGCCGGCCGCGCAAGTCTGCGGCGGCCTGCACGTGTTCTGGGTCGGCAGACAGATGCACCCGGCAAAGTTCCCACGGCAGCGCGCCACGTTGGAGTTGAAGTCGTAGGTGCCCGCGCAACCGTTGAGATCGCAGCTCAGCGGCGTCCCGCAAGACCCCGTCGACGGCACGCACACGCAGCCCGCATAGTTGTTTCGACACCGCGCTACGTTGGAGTTGGGGTCGAATGTACCCGCGCACCCGCCGGCGCTGCAACTCTGGGGCGCACCGCACGTCCGCGGGGTGGGATTGCACTGGCAGCCCCTAAAGTTACCACGGCAGCGCGGACGTTGGAGTTGGCATCGTAGGAGCCGTCGCATCCGTTGAGATCGCACGACTGAGGCGGGCCACAGGTCGCCGGGCCTGGATTGCATTCGCAGCCGCGGTAAAAGTTTGTGCACCGCGCCGTGTTGGAAAGGCCGTCGTAGCGGCCCTCGCACCCGTTCAGGTCGCAGTTTTGGCGTGGGCCGCAGCTCGACGGCACGGGCGTGCAGACGCAACCGCGGAAATTCCCACGACATCGGGCCGTGTTGGAGAAGGCGTCGTAGGTGCCCGCGCAGCCGTTCAAATCGCACGGTTGGGGCGGACCGCAAGCGTTGGGGCCGGGGTTGCAAACACACCCCCTGAAATTGCCGCGGCAACGCGCCGTGTTGGAGTTGGCGTCGTAGGTCCCATGGCAGCCGTTGAGGTCGCATGACTGCGGCTGGCCACAGGTGCCTGCCACCGGGCTGCACCTGCACCCACGGAAGTTGCCTGTGCATACGGGCTCCACCATGGCTATCTCGAAGTTGCCGGCGTAGCCGTTACGGTCGCATGGCTGGGGAGGACCGCATGTCACGTCGGTGGGATTGCATCGGCACCCTGCAAAGTTGCCGGTACAGCGGGCAATCGAGCTGAGGCCTTCAAACTGGCCGTTGCAGCCATTGATGGAGCATGCTTGACGGGGACCGCAGGTCTAAAAGCATTGCAATTAGTTCTGAGAAGTTGCTGGGGGAGTCGGGGGGGGGGGGGGGGCGGGGGGCTTGTTGGAGGAAAGAAGAAAAGAAAGAAAGACACTGTGATGATTTCGGTGTAATGATTTTGCCAATCCGCAACCCCCCTGGCGAACCTGTCCACGGCGCCGACCACAATCATGGTGTCGCTCGCATCCCCGTCTCCCGGGCCGCGCCCGGGAATTCCGCGCGCTGCGTAGCGCTGCGGCGAATCTATATCGATCCAAACTGGCGACCGATTTCTGCGTCCGTCGTTTCCCACGGCCGTGGACACCACGATTCCGTTCTCTCTCAGGATGGGCAGAAAGTGGAACCAGGGATCGAAGCTGTCAAACCTGTAAAAATAGGACCGCCTCCTGTTTCTTTCCTCCAGCATTTCCGTATCAGCCCAATAAGCTCGGTAGGTGACTGGTTGAGGTAGGCAGATTGTCAGGTCAGTAAAGCCAACTCACAGGTAGCCAAGGTAGGGAATTGGATCAGGGGCTCTTTACCCGCCGAGTAGTTGATGACGGCCTTGCCCATCTTCTCATGCTGGCGAACATGGTCCACAATCCAAAGCGCGCGTCAAAGAGGGTGGAGGCATCTAGGCTTCCGTACCCCCTTATAACAGGAATGATATTCTCCCCGCTCTTCGTCGCTCCAAACGCTTCGCTTCCTGCAAGGCTCGCCACGCAGGTGCCGTGGAAAAAAGCATAGTCGTCCGGCGGGACGGAGAAACGGGCCGTGTAGCCAGGTTGGAGTCTTCCTCTAAACTCCTAAGGTAGGGGCACTCATGGTATCAGTACTAACTGTCCTCGCCTAACCTTGGGTAAGAGAAGAGATAAGTAATGGCTCACCGGGTGATCTCGATGAACCGGTCCGTCAAGAATGTAGATGTGGACATCGGATCCAGCCCGAGCGTCTTGCAAGTAACCCCTATACATGGAGTAAAGGGTGTTTTGGAATCGGGGCGGGTTGGACAGTTGGGCGAGCCAGCGCGGATACTCGCCTTCCCCATAAACGCCAAACTGGAGCTCCAAATCCGACTCGATCACTTGCCGCGGTCGTCGCTGGGCCTCAGAAACAGAAATGCGCCCTGGGCCTAGAATGGTGCTAGTACTACTAGTACTGGTGATGCGCCGCCGTCTGAGTCGTGCCTTGTTGCCCTGTCCGCCGCGATCTCCATCAGGGGGATCAGGATCGGTAACTTGGCCGCCGTCGTCGTCGAACTCATCGTCATCGTCTGACACTTCGTCCAGCCAGGCCGTGTCGTTGGACGCCGTTGTGTGCACACTGGGGTCAATGGAGAAGCCCCTTAGACCCAGTGCTTCCCGCAAAGGGCTCGTGGTGAGCTCCCTCGCCCTTGTGAGAGCCATGTACGTAACGAGGCCTTTGATGTCTAGGCCTGTCGTGCTTTCCATGATGACGGGCTCGTGCCCGCCCAGACTTGACACCTCACGTCTCAACGCGGCCCACTGCTCGTCGTTCCCCCTGAAGATGAGCAGGATACGGGCCAAATGGTTGCCCCTCCCCGGCCTCGTAGCATCACGAATTGCCAAGGCCATCGCGTGCTGCCCAATCGACTTTGGATGAAAAGCCTTTGCCCAGCGTTCGGGAATCCTAAGGTAGTGTGACGGCCCTTGTTAGTACCAGGTTCAGGTTTTACATCAACTTGTCAGCTTAAGGGGGTAAAAGAAAGAAGAAAGAAAGAAAAAGAAAAAGAAAAAAAAAGGAAGGAAATAAGAAGACAAAAAAAAAAGCGTCAAAGGGCAGCTGCACAGTTGGTGTAATACATACAGGTTTGGGTCTTCCTCCCCCGGCGGCACCGTAGTGTTGAGGTGGTCGGCCAGCCGTTCTCCGTTTGCAAGCGTCGCGGCCACGGTGCATGCCATGTACTGGCCAAACTCAATGCCCGCAGTCACATTGTCTCTGCTCAAAATATCGGCGCACAAAGCCTCGGTTATCTCCCTCGGTCCCTCAAATGGCGACGGCATGGGATCGGGATCGGGTAGCAGGGCTCCGGGGGGAACGTGGTCGGTGCTGGCATGGAGAAGAAACCAGCTTTGGGGGTTGTTGTAATTGGGTTCCGTGACGCCCTCCTCGCAGAACCGGTGACCCTGGAATCTTTCATTAATAGGTACATGCTGGACCCGGCCCTGGCCTGGCTCCCTCCCAAGGTTGGCAATTTCGGCGGCTCCTGCCATCCTTTCGTTGAGGTTACGCGTTAATACGTTTAGCCTTTCCCGTAGCTCGGTTGTGAGTCTGGCGCCCCTGAAAAATAGCACGTCAAAGCTGACATCGTTGCACTGCGTGGTGGTGCTGTTGAAAAACTCGGCATAGCCTGCATCTCCCGGTCAACGCCAACGTTAGCTTCAAGTTCAGATCTAAGAGGCCATTGTGAATGGAATGGCCACAGGGATGGGTTAAGCTTGCCGGTAGCAAATAATGTGAAATGGTACGGGGCGCCGCCGGCGACAGCCGCGTCCAGGATCCGAGTGTAGACGTCAGCGAGCCTGTGAGCGATACCATCAATTGTCCTCTGCGCGGCCTGCACTCTGTCGTCGCATTCGCCAGAGAACCATGTCCTGAAGATGCAGGCCTTGAGGATACCGACAAAGTCGACATCATTTCCGCCGATGGAGATGGTGGCGCTGTCTTTGACGGACCTGTCGCTCGACTGGAAGGCGGGCAGTTGCGTGTCGAGCACATCCCTCATGACAGCGCTGGAGCAGGCCAGAAACGAGAATTCGTGGCCTGGGAGCGGCGCAAACCCGAAGCCGGGATTGTTCAAGTATCGAGGATGCGCGTTGAGCCCCTGGCCGCAGCCCCAGAATCCGTTCGCGCAAGGCCGGCGGCGTACGAGTCTCCAAAGGCCGTCCAGCCCCGGATAACGCTACATATCCTCACGAGGTTAGTAAGCGAAGCCAAACATCAAGGGAAAAGTGAGGTCATCGTGTGATGTGACGTACTAGGCTCCCTCGGGTAGTTCGGGGGGACGGTTGTCCTGGGCGGCGGCAGTTTCAAGAAGCCCCATACCATGGGCCAGCAAATAGAACAAAAGCCCAAGTCCCATCATGCCTGGTCTCTTCAAGTTTCACAGCACTGCAGTGGCAAGACTTGGTGTTAGGGAGATACTATCCCTCGGGAGAGTTGTAGCTGAGAAGTCGTTGCCGGTGGCAGTGGCTTGCCCGTGCCGGTTAGGACGAGTTAGTAGTATATATACCATTGCTGAGGTCCCGGGGAGGTGGGAATCACTTTTCCATGTATAAGTAGGTATAGGTAGGCATCCATCGGCATTTGCATTCTAAATGTCGACTAGGGGTTGCTCAAGATTGAGCGACCAGCCGACATCTAGCACAAACCGCAAAGCAGGTGGTTCCAGGTGAGCCTGGGTAAGCCTAGGTAAGCCTTGTGATTCTGTGATAGTGGACGCCAAGTCAATAAGTTACCAAATTCCCACTCGAAAGGTAGATTCGTAAGGGCCATTGGTACTTTGGTAGTAGGAGTCGTCGGTCACGGTTGGCCCGATTGCCTTTGCCGTCGTTGAGAACACGGCACCCCGCATGTGATTGCTTCCAGCACAGCGGCATCATCAGCCAGACAGGGAATTGATAAGGTCACGGTGAGCACTTACGTCCTGAGGTTAGTAGTCTCAAGGTAGTGTAGTTTAGGCTTGGCGACGATGATGAGGTGAGCGATCCGAGGTGAGCGTGGCGTGAGCACCGCACATACACTGGGGTTAGTACCGTATATTCCCGCAAAATCCGCCCTCTTCTGTTGCAGAATCTAAGTAAACCATACGTCTCTAACCCCGTAGTCCGCCCCTTCAAACCCTGACTTGGACCTCGCAAGGCATCAGTAACGTCGAAGCGCATTGCATAGCGCAAGGCTGGGATTGGTCACACGGTCTTAGACTGTGCAGGACGGGGGAATCCGTAGTAGAGGGCGGATTTTACGGGAATATGTGTGAGGAATATTGAGCGTACACTGCCAGGGACTGAAGATATTCATCGGGTTGGCCGAAATGGTTGAGGGTTGTTGAATGGGGAAAACTAGGGGGTACAGTACTGTATGCACAGTACAGGCCAAGATCCCACTAAATATACCCTAGTGCAGGCCCAGTAATGCCTGCCATGATTGTGGTAACTGTACCTAAAGTGGGCAGGAGCCATTGCATAGGTACCTGTTGGGTCGAGCTTCGTACAGTCAGGGGCCACTATCAAGTTATCAACTAGGTATCAACTTATCAAGTTTATGGTGGGCCCTGAATGCAATGAAGGTCGAACCCACGGGTATGTAGTTGAGTCGTACTAGGGGGGCAGTGCGGTCTGGCTCGGGAGGCAGTGTGGGGCCATATGTAGCCCTAAACCGGCAATTCTGCTTCTTTACACCCACACCACTCCCACTGTTCCGCACGTCACGCCCACCACTTACACGACCACTTATAGACGCCTAACTACAATACCCTGATTGTAATGCTAGAACTGTACGTTGATTTAACTATAAGTAATGGCCTGATTATATAGATTTCTATTGAGCTGAGAGACCCTGACTTGCAATGACCTAACTGTAATGACCTGACTGTAGCGACCCGACTACGACGAATTTGACTGCGACGATTGACTGCGACGATTGACTGCGACGATATGACCGTGATGAATTGACTGTGATGAATTGACTGCGATGAATTGACTGTGACGAATTGACTGCGATGGACTGACTGCGATGAATTGACTGCGACGAACTGAATGTAACGAATTGACTATAACGTTACTTGCAATTGAGTGAACGTTGTTTGTAGCTATGGGTGTGGTTTGCCTGGCAAGTGGTCTGGGTATGGGCGTGGGTGTATACGCCGGGTTAGAGTTATATGTGGCACTCCCCCCCGAGCCGGACCGCACTGCCCCCCTAGTACGACTCATGTAGTTATCGTCGTACCTGGGAACTCGCCCCTTTGAGTTTGATAATTCAAGCTGGCAACCGACCATCGTATAAGGTAGGTAATGAAATTGATGATCGTCTGGGTAATCCAGCTATTTCAAGCCAAAATGAACCAGGCGCCTATCTCGACCACCAAGGGGAAGCTGAGGGCTGCTAGCCAGATCCCAATCGTCATGTGGACGTCTCGCCGAACTGAATGGGCAAAAACTCGACAAATATTATACTGTACTGTACCTTCGTACATCCTCGACCAGACACCCAAGGCGGAAAGGTGCGATCGCCTTCACGGCAAACAGAAACTCGCTCGCCAACATTTCCTACTTCGATAACCTCATAGGGCTATGCTCTAGCTAAGACGCGGCCTCCGCACCCAATATTGGCGAAGATGGTTATACGCCGCTGCACTACCTGATCCGCCTGTAATACCTGATCGGCCTGTAAGGTCACTGGGTCTTCCGAGAGAGATATCTCGCTTCTCTACGAGGTTCAGTTATAGAGAATCTACTACGGCACTGGCCCGGAACTGTAAAGACTCAGGTACCTTACCCAGTCATGCAGATGTTCGAGTCGATGGCAGGTCTAAGGCGGCAATGCCCTATTACTAGGTAGTAGTACCTTACTACCTTACCCGGTGTAGTAGTATCCATATCTAAGGTAAGATACCTATAGTTCTTTGGCAATTGGACTCGGAAGTCACGTTAAGTAATACGGAAGGTAGCTAGTACCTTGATGTCACGGTCAAATTTTCGGTCAGCTTCACATATCAATAGATACTGCTTTAGATAGGATGCTAAGTAAGGTAGCTACCATGTCTATACAGAGCCGATCGCTCAGCCAATATCATTGAGTACCTTAGGTAAGTGAGGTAAGGTACCCAAGTTAAAAAGTGGCAACACCGTTGTGGACGCCCGGAACGGCAATCATCATATCGACCCGGGCATATATCTGAACGTTCAGTTGCTGATCAGCGTTACAAATTTAAGTGAACCCCCACATTATATATAGGGCCTATTGCTGAACTCTACCGAAAACGTGAGCCGGCTAGACTGTAAGTGAGCCAAGGCCTGGGGTAACGCGGCCGGATATATTGGCATTGCGCATCACGTCGGCATGTTTCCGTCATCTCCATAAATGTGGCCCGGATTCACAGCATATATGTTAATGAACGGTTTGACAACCTACGTGCCGGATCCCGGCCGTCTCCCCAAAGTTGAGCTCGGAACTGCTCAGTGCTGAACCATCATGAACATATCACGGCGATAAGTAGCTGGCTCAGGGCTCTAAACAGTATAGAGGCTGCAGGCAGCTAGTAGCTAACGATGGCTCTCTTGGTTTCTTTCTTCCTCCTCTGGGGCATCATACTGAGCGGGGTGAGGCCATCCTCAGTTGCCACTCTCTCCTCGCCATCCACCGTCCCGCTCAAGACCCTCCACCAACTCCTCGAAGAAGCCGACCAGGCCGCCGCCGCCGCCGCACCTCAGGCAGGTCCCGCACTCCCTCTGCCTCCCAGCCTTGACCCCTGGTACCGCGCCCCAACCACCTACGACTGGACCCAAACCGAACCCGGACAAGTCCTCAAGATCCGACAAGCCCCGTTCCTCAACTGGACGGTGGGCAACGCGCTACGGGCGTACCAGCTGCTGTACCGATCAACCGACAGCCAGTACAACCCGGCGTGGGACGTGACCACACTCTTCATCCCCCGCTGGCAGGCGCGCTGCTCGCCCCAGACGCCGCACCTCTGCGCGCACGCCGTGCTCTCGTACCAGCTGCCCTACGACACGTGCAACGTCGACGCCAGCCCCAGCTACGGCCTGCACCTGGGCGAGCCCTACGGGGAGATTGCCGATGCCTTGGCCCTTGGGTGGTTTGTTGCTGTGCCGGATTATGAGGGGCCCTTGGCCAGTTATGCTGCGGGGGTTCAGGCGGGACATGCTACTATTGATGGGGTTCGAGCTGTCCTGCAGGTTGGCGGCCTGTTTGGTTTGCGCATGGATGTCACCAAGGTTGCGCTCTGGGGGTACAGCGGCGGCGCGTTGGCCAGTGAGTGGGCCGCTGAGCTGGCGGTGCAGTACGCGCCCAAGATGAAGTTCGCGGGTATTGCTCTGGGGGGGTTGACGCCTAACGTGACGGGTGTGACGGACTTTTTGAACGGAAAGGAGGGTGCCGGGCTGATACCTGCGGGACTGCTGGGGATCGCGACCCAGCATCCGGACGCGTACCGCTGGATTGTGTCGAGGCTGCGGCCCGCGCTAAGGGATAGGTTCTTGTCCGTCAGGAAGATGACGGCGCGGCAGGCCATCAGGACGTTTATGTATAACGACATCTACTCGTACTTTGTGGGCGGGTATAAAGATCTGCATACGAGGGTGATGCAGATGATGTACAACATCGACGGGTTCATGGGATACCATGGCGTGCCGAGAATGCCCGTCTTCATTTATAACGCCGTTCACGACGAGTTGAGCGATATCAAGGAGGTGGACGAACTTGTGGACAGGTTCTGTGGAGTGGGAGCGAACATCTTGTACCACCGGAACTTGGCTGGCACCCACCATCAGGAGATCGTCAACGGAAGACAGCGGGCATTTGCGTGGCTCAGGAGTGTGCTGGACGGGAGTTATGATCAGCTGTACTCCAGCATGGGGTGTACCATCCAGAATGTCACATACAACCTGGCGCCGTACGTCGGGTGGTGGTAGGCGGATGCGAATTAGAAATTTCCGGTCTTATTCGGCGGAGATGCCGGAACGTCTACCGTGCCATGATGAGTTAAGCTTGAGTATCAAGAGAGGTTTCTTCCCATTTGTCGATATCCTGGATCAACCTGTGAGTCGAAAAGTGGTAGATAGGGGCAGAGAAATGGAAGTCTCGAAGCTGTCAAGTCCAGCTCGTGAAGCGGCCTTTGGTGGTAAGTAGGATCACTTCGAGTCGATCGGGATGGCTGGACGTCTCTGGAAACCAATCTCCGAGTTCTATTGAGGAGAGAACGCGAGGGCAACGTGCAAAAAGAGACAAACCGGCATAAAGCTCAGGCGGGGTCACGGTTTCATAGAACAGTTCTCCAAGCTGGGTCGGAGGGGCTTTTCCTCGAACTGAACTCGAACCGGGAACCTCCCGCCCTACGAAACCGTGCACAACGATTTCATAGTTAGCTGAAATATCACTCGGCCACTACAGAGTCTAACTTGCTTAACCTTGGACGAAACGATGGTTATATACCCTCCTCGCTCCTTCCTTCTCCTCGACCCACGGCTCCAGTTCTTCCTGCCGTCCCCAAACACAAATCCAACTCCCAGCTACCAGCAACCATCTTTTGCAAGTCAAATGGAACTGCACTGACTTACCAACCCAGCCTTGAAACCCCTCACTGCCTCTTCCCCTTCCCCTTTTCGCCATTCCCTCCCCAACTGCCACCAACCACCTCCCTCCTCTTCAAGTCCACCCCCACCCCAAGCACCACCAACACTCTCACAAGCATCGGCAACACGGCCGACGCAAAAACCGCCCACTCGAAAACGTCCCACTCCCCAAACGCAACAAACTTCTCCCACCCCCCGACCGCCTGCACCGAGCTGACGTGGTACACGACGTCGCTGACCAGCATGGCGGCGCACAGCAGGCGCCAGACGCGCAAATCATCAAGAACGCCCAGCAACAGTACCTCGGCGACGCCAAAGAGCAGCCAGGCGCCGCCGAGCTGTGTGTACAGGTACTGGTTGGCAGGATCGTAGGTCGCGGTCCCGCGCGTGATCTTGGCCGTGTAGTCCACGGGGTCGAAGAAGACCATGCGGGCTCCGTTGAGGCAGAAGAATGGTTCGAGGACTACCAGGAGGAGGCGGTAGGGTAGTGGGAGGGCGGTGGAGGCTTTCGTCACGGGCTGGGGCTGGTCGCCGTTCATGTTGGAGGCGGGACTGAGAGGAGGGTGCGAGAGGGTATGTTGAGTTATGTTGCCTTGAGCCGTATCTCAAGGCTATATGGGAACTTTGATAATTGCTCGTGCGTCCCAGTCGTGGCTGATACGAGGTGGGTTCTAGGAGATGATGGTTTTCTGGCGTTGTGAGGGGCACGAATCCAATGTCACCGTCTGACACACCCCGTGCTGCTGACGCTGACTGTGCCGGATCTCTGGACCGTTCTGGGGTTCAACCTAACTTACTTAAGGTATGTATATACATACCTTACCTGCTGTGACTGGCCCTTGAGACTCGAGTCTTCAATCTGCTTGCTAAGCAACATCTTGTAGAACAGAATGTCTTGCTGAATGAAGACCGCCGATGGCGACAACGCAGCCTTTCATCAATGCCGATGACGAGTAATGCTACGTTATGCGCTCATCACCGTTCCTTTTCACTACCCGAGTGCTTGGTAGCGAATGACGATGGGCACTGTGGGCTCTGCCACCCTCAAATACATGGTCCGCGGTTAATAAGACGGCCTCGCTCACCAGTTTGGGTAAAACAGGATTGCCCAAGTTAAGCCCAAGACCAGAGAGAGTCGTCAGGTAACGCTACTCGTTGGCACTTGCTTCAGGTCGTGAGGCCAATTTTTGGGACAAGTCCATAATGATTCAATAGGTACCGAAGCGTTGATTCAATTCGTCCTAGATCAGGCATAGCCATGGCTGCCATGCACAACTGGTGGACCATGCGGCGAGTCCGATTTGCAGGGACGGTGGAACCTGAAGAGAGGACGCTGGAATCAACGGTTTATCGAGGCTGCCTCAGAGGCTAGTTCAGGGAGCGTCTGAAATCGGTTGAGATTGGTGACGGGCGATCGCACCGATTTCCTTATGAGAATGGAGCGAGGGCCCGAGCACCGAAACGAGTGCGGAGATCTTCTGGAACCCCCTTTTTTGAACCCCTAGAAAAGGGGCTGGCCCAGCTGGATACGGTAACTTATTTGCCATCGATGGGGCTGGGCTGCACATTGCTGCAGTGGCGCGCGGCTGATGTCGTCAACCGAGCTCGGGTCTTGCTCCCGCTGCTGTCTCAGTCTCGTGGAACACGAGGTGGCACTAATAAACGGACTGTTGGTTGTTTGCAGACAGGAAAGAATAACAGTCATTGTTTGGCGATTCGAAGACATATTGCGCAATTGACTCTGGGAAGTCAGTGAGGAAGTGAGACTCGTATCCTCCTCAGACCCGACTCGGGTTTACATCAGGGGTCTGGTAATCATTAGGATTTCTTGCTACAACTGGCGATGCAAGCCACAAGATCTATTAACGTTCACATACAGATTAGTGTTTGAGTAGACTTTGAAGACACTAAAGCAGGGGGGAAATATTGAATTATCGACCGCCACCTTCAGCTGCGATCTACGGTATGGAGCTTGAGCTGGGGCTGCGAATCCCTGTTCTGTCAGCCCTTTCTCTCTCGCTGTGTCGGCTGCAACTGGTATCCTGCATTCTCTAGCGAATTTCGAAAAAGAAATTCACCTCAAAATTGAGGTGACGGAGCGCTGCACGGCGTTCTCGCCAACTGCCTTTCTCTGGCCTCATTATCGGCGGTTGCGGTTCCATGCGCTTATTAGGTGCTGGCGTAGGCTGTTTACCGCAGCTGCGGGGTGCTGGTTGCTACAGGTGGTTTGCTACGCTGCGGCCCCAGGCTTCCAGGTTGCCTTTCTCTGGCCTCATTATCGGCGGTTGCGGTTCCATGCGCTTATTAGGTGCTGGCGTAGGCTGTTTACCGCAGCTGCGGGGTGCTGGTTGCTACAGGTGGTTTGCTACGCTGCGGCCCCAGGCTTCCAGGTTCCAAGACAAGCCCCGGTCCACCCGACTGCCCGCCCAAGTTTCAACTCTCGAAATGCCCCATCCTGGCCCGCTCACCACAACCCGACACTCCGCAGTCCGCACTCCTTGCCGCAGTCCGCCCCGTCCCTCCAAACGTGGACTCGAGGCTAACCTGGGCGGCAACTCCCCGTGCCCGGAGCGCATCCAAATATCAATCTTTGCCTATTACTTCCATCCGGGAACCTTGAAGCCAAAACCGGCAACTCTTCCTCTCCTTTTGCTGAATCTTGCACTCGCAGATCCATCCACGTTGCTGAGCGGAAGCCTCGCTTTTTCGCCATCATGTCCTGGAAATTAACCAAGAGTTCGTCCAGTCCCTTTCCCCGCCGGTCGCTCTCCGACCGGCGCTGCGCCTTATTCTGGCGTGGTGTCCGCCCCGTTTTGATGCGTGCTGTTGCTGACAAGATCGCCATTTAGAACTAAAGGAGACCCATCTGGGTCCCCTCACTAGCACGTTTTCCCGGTCGCCCTCGACTTCGACCATCACGGATAAGGATGAAAAGAGCCAGGGTGCCATCTCGGGGACCGCTACTCCCACAAACGAGAGCAACATCGGTATGTGTAGAACTGGCGCCCGACTTCTCTGACTTTCCCCCAAATGTCGACCTGTCCTAACTGTATCTTAGCTGCGTCAGAAGCCCTGACACAAGCGCCCGTCGTCAAGACGCCCAAGCCAGGCATCCTCGTCGTTACCCTCCACGAGGGTCAAGGCTTTTCTCTTCCCGAGCAACATCGCAATGCCTTCAACCCGACTCACCCAGGCAGTTCGCTGTCGACGGGAAACGCACTCGGTGCGGCTGGCTCTATCCGCCCATCGTCTTCTTCTAGGACCGGTGGCTTCATGGGTGGCAGACCGTCAACATCCGGCGGGTTCAGCGGAATTCCCACAAATCACGGCCGTATCTCCACAAAATACATGCCCTATGCTCTGATAGATTTCGACAAGGTACAGGTGTTCGTCAACTCGGTCGAAGGCACTCCCGAGAATCCTCTATGGGCGGGCTCCAACACACAATACAAGTTTGACGTGTCGAGGGTAACGGAATTGGTGGTGCACTTATACATTCGAAACCCAAATGCCCCGCCGGGCTCAGGCCGGAGTCAAGATATATTCCTCGGCGTAGTCCGCATCAACCCGCGTTTCGAGGAGAAGCAGCCGTACGTCGAGGATCCCAAGGCCAGCAAGAAGGATCGGGAGAAGGCGGCAGCGGAACATGCCAGCCGCGAGCGTGCCCTCGGGCATAGCGGTGTGGACTGGGTCGATGTGCAATACGGCACGGGCAGGCTCAAGATCGGCGTCGAATATGTCGAGAACAGGGCTGGTAAGCTCAAGATTGAGGACTTTGAGCTGCTGAAAGTGGTTGGGAAGGGCAGCTTTGGCAAGGTTATGCAGGTGCGGAAAAAGGACACCAACCGAATCTACGCGCTCAAAACGATCCGAAAAGCCCACATTATCTCGAGGTCCGAAGTGGCCCACACCCTGGCTGAGCGGTCGGTGCTCGCCCAGATCAACAACCCCTTCATCGTGCCCCTAAAGTTCACGTTCCAGAGTCCCGAAAAGCTCTATTTCGTCCTGGCCTTTGTCAATGGCGGCGAACTCTTTCACCACCTGCAAAAGGAGCAACGCTTTGATGTCAACCGCAGTCGATTCTACACGGCCGAGCTGCTGTGCGCCCTCGAGTGCCTGCACGGCTTCAACGTTATCTACCGCGATTTGAAGCCCGAAAACATTCTTCTTGACTACCAGGGTCATATTGCTCTCTGCGACTTTGGACTCTGCAAGCTCGACATGAAGGATGAAGACCGCACAAACACGTTCTGCGGGACGCCCGAGTACCTCGCGCCCGAGTTGCTAATGGGCAATGGATACAACAAGACGGTCGACTGGTGGACTCTGGGCGTTCTGCTCTATGAGATGTTGACGGGCCTCCCGCCGTTCTACGATGAGAACACAAACGAGATGTACCGCAAGATCCTCAGCGAGCCGCTGCATTTCCCTGGTCATGAGATTGTGCCGCCGGCGGCCAAGGACCTCTTGACCAAGCTGCTGAACCGCGATCCGCAGCAACGCCTTGGGGCCAACGGATCCGCCGAAATCAAGGCACACCCATTCTTCCACGCCATTGACTGGCGGAAACTCTTGCAGCGCAAATATGAGCCTGCGTTCAAGCCGAATGTGGTACGTATTAGACTACCGCCAGTGGTTGAGGTGACTAATCTGGGCAAACACTGACTGATATGTCGCTAGGCCGATGCTCTTGACACGGGCAACTTCGATCCTGAGTTCACGTCTGAGCCGCCCCAAGATTCGTACGTCGAAGGACCGGTTCTCTCTGAGACGTTGCAGAATCAGTTCACAGGGTTCTCTTACAACCGCCCGATCGCCGGTCTCGGAGACGCCGGCGGCAGCGTGAGGGACCCGTCGTTTGTTGGCAGCATTCAGGATAGATGAGCGACAGCCGATGGCGCCGCGGAGGTACTACTCGTAACGGCCTGGTGGTTGGGACCCGAAATGCGCGAGCACGTAACAAGATGTACTTATCCCGCTGATAAGGACGATAGGGAAAAGATGGGGGCTGAGGGACCTGCACTTGCTTGGTGTGGTCGGTTTTTCTTGGCTGAGCGATTTCGACAAGCGGGCTTTCAGACGGAAAGCAGTTCAGGCACTTCCCATTTAGCACTGGTCATGATTACTGGGTTTTCTTTTTTTTTTTTTTTTTCCTTGTTTTTTTCCCTCTTCTCCGGTAGTTTTTGCTTCCTTTTCCCCGGGTTTGGGTTGAAAGAGGTGTAGAATACACGGTCGACTCAACAAACCAGCTATCCAAAGGTCCTGGCAACAGCATCGCAACTGGCAGTTCATCCGAAGACGGTGCTGAATGCTGTTTTTATTTTATTTTCGCCTTGTTCAGGTCCCGCTCTACCGGTATACTGTCTACTAACCCCCGCGCTAGTGACATGAGGCTCTTACTCAGCAACGTGAACTGGCTAAATCCGAGGTGGAGAGCTGGAGACTGAGCAGTTTGACGTTATTCGAGCGGCATTGAGATGGTGGGGCATCAGTGACGTTCGATCTCGCGTCTCCGAGCTGCATGATCATCTCGGATTTGAACGCCAGCGTTCTTGTGAGTTCTTAAAACAGGTCTTCCCCTTAAACCCCTCATCTTGTTTTTACTTGAGTTTGGCAAGAGGGCAGTTCTATTGTTAACTCAGGTAAGCAAGTACTGTACAATACAGTTCAGATATTCAAACCCGAAGTATTCATCCTTGAGCTTGTATCCCCCGCATTGCGGGGCACAACAGCTAACACACCACCACCACCTATCTTCCCATCCCATCACCCCGCCCTGGGCATCTTTCCCCCTCCAAGTTGCTCAGTCCAAGCCCGAGTGGCCCATTCTACACGCCCTACTCTGACAGCTCCACCCCAACAGGCATCTGAATTCCGTCCTTTCACCTTTCCGGAAACTTGAAAAGACTCCAAGATGGCGCCTGCAAACACACTGCCCGCATGGGCTGAGCTACAGGACCATCATTCCAGTGTTGGCCGGTCCTTCATCCTCAAGGATTCTTTCAAGGCCGACCCCAAGCGGTTCGAGAAGCTGTCGACCAAGGTCACTCTGCCCAGCGATATCTCCAGCGAGCCCGATGGCACCGAGATCCTCTTCGACTTCAGCAAGAACCTCATAACCGAAGAGACTCTCGACAAGCTCATTAAGCTCGCCGAACAGGCTCGCGTGACGGAGAAGCGGGATGCCATGTTCAAGGGCGAGAAGATCAACTTCACCGAGAACCGCGCCGTATACCACGCCGCCCTGCGCAATGTCTCCAATCAAGAGATGAAGGTGGACGGCGTCGACGTCATGAACACCAAGGGCGGCGTCAATGAGGTTCTGGAACATATGCGTGTGTTTTCTGAGCAGGTCCGCAGCGGCGAGTGGAAGGGTTACACTGGGAAGAAGCTTACCACTATCATCAATGTTGGCATTGGAGGTTCTGATCTGTGAGTGACAACGTCTTTTCGCCAGTCGAATCATAGGCGTGGTGCTGTGCTAATACATGATCTGATCGCAGCGGCCCTGTCATGGTCACCGAGGCCCTCAAGCACTACGGCGCCAAGGACATGACTCTGCACTTCGTCTCCAACATTGACGGCACCCATATCGCCGAGGCTCTTGCAAACTCGGACCCCGAGACAACTCTTTTCTTGATTGCGTCCAAGACGTTTACGACCGCCGAGACCACCACAAATGCGAATACAGCCAAGACGTGGTTCTTGGAGAAGACCGGCGGCAAGGGGGATATCGCCAAGCACTTTGTCGCACTCTCGACGAACGAGGCAGAAGTGACCAAGTTCGGCATCGACGCCAAGAACATGTTCGGCTTCGAGAGCTGGGTCGGCGGCCGGTACTCGGTCTGGAGCGCCATCGGCCTGAGCGTCGCCCTGTACGTCGGCTACGACAACTTCCGCAAGTTCCTGGCCGGCGCCCACGCCATGGACAACCACTTCCGCACCGCCCCGCTCAGGGAGAACGTCCCCGTCATCGGCGGCCTGCTCAGCGTATGGTACTCCAACTTCTTCAACGCCCAGACGCACCTCGTCGCGCCCTTTGACCAGTACCTGCACCGCTTCCCGGCCTACCTGCAGCAGCTCTCCATGGAGTCCAACGGCAAGACCATCACCTCGGACGGTACCCCCGCCAAGTACACGACGGGCCCGATCCTGTTTGGCGAGCCCTGCACCAACGCGCAGCACTCCTTTTTCCAGCTCGTGCACCAGGGCACCAAGCTCATCCCCGCCGACTTCATCCTCGCCGCCAAGTCCCACAACCCGATGTCGAACAACCTCCACCAAAAGATGCTTGCCTCAAACTACCTTGCCCAGGCCGAGGCGCTCATGGTGGGCAAGACGGCTGACGAAGTCCGCGCCGAGGGCGGCGTCGCTGAGAATCTCGTCCCGCACAAGGTGTTTTTGGGAAACCGTCCCACGACGAGCATCCTCGTTGGCGGCGCCATTGGTCCTGCTGAGCTCGGTGCCCTGATTGTTTATTACGAGCATCTTACTTTTACGGAGGGGGCTGTTTGGGATATCAATAGCTTTGATCAGTGGGGTGTGGAGCTTGGCAAGGTGCTGGCTAAGAAGATCTTGAAGGAGATTGACGAGCCTGGTGCGGGCTCTGGGCACGATCCGTCGACTGGTGGGTTGCTTGGGGCGTTTAAGAAGTATGCTAACTTGTGATTTGAGGGGATTGGTGGACTGGGGAAATAGGGGGTGTGTGGTTTGGCATGGGCAGATGGAGCCACGAGGTCTAGCCTTTGAAGGCAGCCCGGGATGTCTTCTTCCCAGCTGTTAGTTAGTATCACCGGTATTTGGACTAGAGCAATCAATTGCGTGGTATGAGTGTCTCAGGATACCTCTCTGAATCTCTCGTGAGTTGTGAGTTGGCATTTTGTGACTCCCCTTTCCTATGCTACTCTACTTGAACGAAGCGATTGTCTGTCTGCCAGAGAAGGAAAAGAAAACCATCGACACCGGTGAATTTACCAAGCAACATGAACCCAATCTGCCCCTGATTTATCCCTAAACCCTAGCTAGACACCTCTCCTGGATTGTGCATGTATCTGCCGTGTGTAAGGTAGGTACCTAGGTACTGATTGAATGGAATGCCTGACAGCCGGTTAAACCGCAACGCGAAGAACAAAATGACAAACCCACACAACACAACAACACCAAGGCCCAACCAAGCAAAGCAACACCCCCTTTCCAGTGCCTTCCCCCTCATCCCCAGGATTGACTGTGTGCATGTTTTACGCTTCGACCAGACTGGGACACGCAGCCAAAGAGATCACCATTCACCACCGCCATCGCTTGAAGCCCAAACCAACCTAACCACGCCAGTCCTGTTTGCATTCTCTTTGGAAGAACATCCCCCTTAAACAGGAATTGTCCCAACCAACCAACATGACAAGTGATCATTCATCCGAAGAGGAAGAGGGAGAGAGAGAGAGAGAGACTGGAGATGTAACACACACTTTACACACTCCCACATACATACATATGCACATACATACACATACACATACATACACAAGCGAGAGAGACATACAGATCCCCCAACATTCGACACGGCCACCGTACTGATCTCTGGAAAAACCTGCACAAGGTGTCAATGATTGAGAATGAAGAGATGAGATAGCTCATCAAGAGACACCAAACGAGGGGAGAGACGAGAGACGATAGAGGAGTAAGAGCTCAACAGCAAGCAAGCTCATCGAATTTCGTTTTGCTTTCTCTTCTTTCTCGCCTATGCCTATGAAACACTCTTCTTAATGGTTTCGCAAAAGGCGATTGATTGGGAAACTGCCTGGACTGGACCGAGCCAAACCGCAGATTAATCAGCAGAGGTAGGTACTCCTCTTGGGGTCTCATTTTGGTCCCGCTTCCTTCTTTGTAATCCTCCCCTTACTTTTCCACCACCTATCTGCCGGCGTCTGTCTTCCTAGATGTATTCGCAATCCCCCACGCCTTTCCTTCCCTATTCATAACAGAAAAACAACCATCCTTTTTAGTGATAGTTGTTGCCCCATCCACGAGGCGGATTCCCGTAGTAGCTGCCGGCAAAAGCCTGGCCGCCGTAGCCACCATAGCTGCTTTGATGGCTCTGTCCACCGCTGGCACTCATGCCGTAGCCGCCGGCGCCAGACTGGCCGCCGTGGAGGCTGTGGGCACCCTGGATATGGCCCGGGTAACCGTATCCACCCATGGCGCCGAGACCGCTCTGCTGGCTAGACTGCGGCGGAGGCAGTCCCGTCTGCGACGGGCCGTTATTCGCCGCTGAGCCGGGACGAGCGGCGGCGGCAAGCGAAGGGCTTGGCCCGCCAGCGGCTTTGGCATCGCCAAATGGCTTCAAATCGTCGGCGCCGGCCGGTCCACCGCCGGGCTGGGCACCGGGTGCATTGAACGATTGCGCAGCCGGCGACTGGTACGTGGTGCCACCACGACCAAATGTGTCGTGCACACCACCAAATCCGCTGCCAAGGCCCTGTTGAGCCGACTGGGCAGATCCGGCGCGGCCATAGTCGCCTAGACCGCCGCTATCCCGATGCAACGTCGACTGGCCGAACGCTCCGGGAGAGGAGTATCCATGCGGACCTTGGGGTGACAGGCCATACTGGTTCGGCTGGTAGCCGAGCCCGGCCTTGCCGTAGGGGCCACCATATCCGCCTTGGTTGTAGCCACCCTGGTTGTACATGTATGCAGAGTAATAAGGGTTTCCGTAGTAGGGGTGGTTGTACGGGTAATCGTGCGGTTGCTGCTGGCCCTGGGTCTGACCACTGGGACCTGTCTGAACCTGACTGGCCGATTGACCAGGGCCGGGCGTTCCGCTGACCGGCGCGTCGGCACCCGAACCGGAGCTGAATCGCGACTGGCCGTGCTGAGTACCGCTCTGGGGGTACTGGCTTAGGTTGTCATTTTGAGACGGGTTGAATCCAGCGAATGATCGCTGGGGTTGCGAGGGCAAGGCGTCTTGTTGGGCCTGTCCACCCTGTTGCTGACCGAAGTTCTGGTTGTAGTAGCTGTAACGATTTTGGGGGTCCGCCGTATAGTAGGACGAGAAATCACTGGGAGCGGAGCTGAAGGGGCCGCCGGGCTGTTGCTGCGACTGCTGCTGTGTCGCCTGAGCCTGGCTCTGGAAACCACCTTCAAACTGGCTCTGTGCGGCCGAAGCACTAGGCTGCTGTTGGCCGAATGACTCGAACGGTTTCACTGGAGGGAATGCCGATGTCTCCTGGGAGGCAGGTTGGCCGAAGCGGCCAAACTGCTGATTGTTCGATGCGACAGGCGGCTGCGCGGCTGCTGAGGGGATCCTGATTAGCAGCTGGGCTACAGATGGTGTGGCTTGAAGCGATTGATAGAACATACCCTGCGTGGCGGCGGGAAGGCTCGCCTGAGCCGGTGCAGAAGTGGAAGCTGAAGACGGGTTAGCTGAGTGAACCCAAAGAGATAACAACGGGGCGAAAGTCCATACCGGCAGGTCCTGTGGGGATCTGAGAAGCGGCTGGCTTCTGAGTCTGGGCGGAGAAGGCCTCGGGGACAGGTGTGGGTTGAGTCGGCGGGAGCGAGGTGCGAGGGTGAGTGACGGGGGAGTCTTCGGGGGGCTGAGGGCGAGTCTCGGGTTCTTCCCGATCTCCATCAACATCGTCGTCGATGGGGCCATTCAGGCTGAAAGCGCCAAATTGAACAGCGGCGCGGTCAACTTGATCACGGTTCCCGGGCATTCGGACAGCCTCGAGCTGGTCGAGCGTACGCCGAGGAAAGGCTGGCTGGCGAGTCGTCGCCTTGGTCGCAGTAGTGGCAAAGCCGCTGACGGGGGTCTGGCCAGCCTGATGCTGCTGATGGGAGGCGGATACGGGGGTTGCAGTCGCGCTGGCTTGGGCGGCGCGCGGGTCCCAGGAATCAGCGGCCTCGCTAGCAGCGGTTTCGGTTTCGGGAGGATGAGAATCATCTGCAATCTTGTCGAGATTTGTCTCAGTGAGCTGATCCTTGGGTGGCAGGAGCGCGACCGAGGGAACCGCAACCGAGGGAACAACCGGAATAGCTGGAACGGCCGGAACAATAGGCTCAGTCGAAGCAGCGGGTGCTGGTTCCTCGACGGGTTCGGGAGCGGACTGCTCGGCCGGGGCAGGAATCTCGAGTTCGGGCTCAGGCTCGGGCTCGGTCGACTCAGCCGGGGGCAGCGGTTCCATGATTGACTCGGAGGCCTGGGCGGGCGCCTCCTTCGGTTTCGGCGCAGATTTCGGTGCAGTCGACTGCCTTAGCATACTGGCCCATGTGGTGGGTTTGGGAGCGGTAGTTGTGCTGCTAGGGACGGGAGTTGGGACAGTCGGGGTCTCTGTAATGGTCGATTCGCCCCATCCGGCCGATTCTTCAGCTGGCTTGGTGTTCCATTCCGAAGCTTCATCGGTAGGAACCGAAAGCGGTTGGGATTCCTTGTTTCTAGTACCATTGGTGGCGGCAGGAGTTGACTTGCCGCGTGTACCACCGCGACCACCCCGCTCAGTCGCTCTGCCGCGGCCTCGTCCGCCGTCAACACCGCGGCCGCCGCGGGCATTTCGCGGGCCCGCAGGGCCGGAGTCGGCAGTGGTAGTTGCGGATGTCTCGTTCTTGGCCTTGGGGCGCGTGCGCTCTTTCTTCGGCTTCGAAACCTCACCCCACTGTGAGATGGTCCCTATCCCAGAGACACACGTGCCAGTCAGTTACAATGGTTTGGTTTCGGGGAAGAGTGGCTAGTCCAACGCGCTCTTCTGTATTTTGACGCAACGAAACCAATGCGATGTGGAGATGGAAAATATCAATGAGAGTTAAGTTGAAAGACAGTCAGCTTACCTTCAGCGATGCGGGAAACGGCCAAGTTCTCATCGCCATCGGTCTCGCGCAGAGCGAACAGAATGTCGACGTCGGACCAGTCCTCGAATATTTTTTTAATGATCTCGACCTTGCTGCCATACTTCTTGTTCAGTTGGCCAATCTCGCCCTCGTCATCCAGGGTCGGCAGAGATGAATCTTCATGCTTGCTGTCGCCATTGGCGGCAGGGGTCCGTGTAGCGGTGCGACCCGCTCCCCGAGCGCCAAATCCGCCGCGACCGCCACGACCAGAGCCTCTGCCGCGAGAAGCAGCTGGTCTGGACTGTACCTCAGCCATTTGCCGAGATGTGAATGGTATGTGGGGATCAAAAGAAATTTAGAGCGGCGTCGCGTGTCGTGGCAACCAGCGAACAGTGGAGGTGGAAGAAGGAAAAGGGAAAAAAAGTTGCCGACTCGCGAAAAATCGATGGGATTTCCTCGCAGTGCGAGTCGTGGTGCGATCCGTGGGATGGATCGAGCCAAGTGGGTGGTTGGAATTGGCAGAAGGCGGAGAGCACTGTTGGAGTGTTGGAAGAAAGGGCGAAGAAGGCTGCCCTCAGTTTTGGTCCAATTCACAATTGGCCCGCCCAAAATGCGCATTGGCAGCAGTTGCGCCCGCAAAAAGTCAGAGTTTCCAGTGTAACACTAACAGCCCCCACAGCAGCAGCTCTCGCAGCTGTAACAGGGCGTTCCAGCCTCGACTTCTGCACAGCCTGGATACGGTCGAGAATGCCCAGCTGTAATATGAAGTCCCATTCATTTTTCACAGATTTATTACAAAGTACAAAGTACTCCATACAGCCCTGATTAATGTGACGGCGGCCGGCTCACATGTTGGGCGAGTACCTATGGACACCAATTATCTCCCTGGCGCCCTGCAGCATACGAGATTGGACGCAAGCCGCTCAAACTCACCTGATTCATGAATCAATTCAACATGAAAGCTGGGATCGGTCGCGTGGCAGGCGGAACTACAAAGGTACAAAGCACAGATGCCCAGCCACATGGGACTCCAGACGTCCAACTGGATTGGTGCTTGGCCAAACCTCGCCACAAGTCGACGACAACCCCAACTAGGTCATGAGGTCGCGGCTTTCGCCTCATGAGAAGCCCTTGGGAAAAGACTGCTATTCGCAGCCCAATGCGTCCACAACAAAGGCGAAGGCGAATTTCGTACGACGTGAGCAAAGTAAAGCTTACCGTTAGATGGTTGGCCTGCGGTTCCTCCTTGAATGCCAATTGGGAGAAACGCCCCACTGTTTCCATACTCCAGCATAAGTACTAGAAACAAACGGCGCCGTTTCCCATGACCCTCTCGCTCTCAGCTTATAGTATGCCCTAACATTCGTAGCAGAAAACACAGGGAATGTAAAAGAGAAAGGGAGGTGAAAGAGGATTCAATATTGGACAACACACAAGGTATTGTATTGTACAAATAACCCTCGCGATACCGGTAGTGGAAGGTTGAGCCCACGGTGTTAACGTTAAATGTTAACGTTAATGTGGGCAGTTCATTAACGGCTTAACATAGAGCTCCTCATGTGATTTGCAACTGTGCGGTGGGCCGATCAGACTCAATGGGGTCCACATCAGCTCACTGCACCCCACTTTTGCAACTGTAAACATCCCTTGCAACCGCTTCTCCCCACATTTGCAACCTCAACCAGTCCGTTTACCTCGACAACGTCTCTTAGGCTCTGCTTGCATTGATGCCACGAACCTGGCTGATGGGTTCAATTCGAACTGACAATTCCTCGTCATTCAAAGAGCAATAACAATGCTGAACACCAAGGCAAAAGCCTCGTTATTCAAAAGCGTGCTCCCGACAATCCATCACCCTCTTCCATTGACTGAACGTCAGTCGGATCGCCTTCTCAACCTCATCAACACCTCTTTTCGTAAACAGCTGGACAAGGAACACGGATTTCTTCCGAAGGCTCCCCGAGTCGTGAACCAACTGCCCAATACGTCTTCGTCGCCAGAAGCCTCGGCCCCAGCAAATCATGTACCAAGCCGGCCCGTCGATCGGCATGTGCATGCTGTCCTTAACAATCCGCTCTTTACTCGGTCAACCACGGTCGAACAAGGCTCGGATCCTAGAAGATTGTGCGATGCCCACAAGGCTGTTTTCGAAGAGGCGGTCATGAGGGGGCTTATGAACATACCACGAGCTTATGGCTTTCTCAAGAATATTTTACTCATTCTCAAAGATTCAACAACATCGACGACACTGAAACCCACAGAGCATTATGGCATGAAAGATACAGGCGTGGGCCTTCTCGTTGTGCGATGGCTGTGGGCCTCGGGTCTGGAACGCAGTCTTGACTTCCTCAGGTACAAGGGGTTTACCGAAAAGTTGACAAGATTCATGGTTTGTGAGGATCTGGAAGACCTCATTTGGGTCTGGATAGATCGCCTTATCAAGGCCGAATGCGATCGAGGGCCTCAAGACTCTGGTTACCCGCTCCACTCGGCTGAGTTGCTCAAGTTGCTTGTCATAGCCAAAATGAGCAGCGGCTCCGACGTACAATTAGCCAAGGGTTATGCTGCCGTCCTGAAGGGGGAAAGCTTGTACAAAGAAAACTCTTCGTCGACAAGCGGTCTAATGCCCGCCTGGGTACGCGTCGCTACCGAAACCACATCAGCGACCAATGTATGGCAAGAAAAGCCGCCAGTCGACCTATTCGAGAAGTTTGTCTGGGCGAACCGCGAAGACAAGACAGTAAAGGCAGACAGGATAAGAGCTCATCTCTCACTCTACCACCCGACGAAGCCATCGCCCGATCTTGCTGTGCAACATCTCGCCGCTAAGCGCACCTGGGACGGGGTCAAGCAGTTCATGCCACTTAATCCGTTTGGTGAAGAGCTTCCGAATCCAGTCCGGCGACTCCTACGGCTCAGCGTGGACACACTTGTTTGTCTCTCGCACGCTGGGCGGGTTGAAGAAGCAAACAATATCGTAGAGACGCTCAAGACACGCCTCCGCTATCCTGATGGCCGGCCGGTGATTGATACCTACATAAAACATGACTCAGGAGCTGGTTCTACATGGTCGTCTATATGGTCGCCAAAATGGCCGGGCGCGTCAATCGAGTCGTAAGTGCAAGAGCAAGCAACCATCCTGAAAGTTCGTTGGATCTCGGGAATGACGCCACCTTTTGGGTTACGAACGAGGGTCATAGACTTGTTACAGCTTCCATCTGGCGCTGCAAGCGACCCCGGCGGGAACAAGCTGCGCTCTCAAGGGGGCACGGCACAAGAGAGAACTGAAGTCCCATCTTGGGCATGGCGGATACACATCAGTGTCATCTCCCTGCATCAGAGAGGAAGCACAAGAATGATGGTCACGCACACGCTCTCTACACACCGCATTCTTACCTGTTTGTGTACAAGTACATTTACATCTCATCATTAATACACGAGGAAAAGACAGGCTGCCCCTTCTCGAGCTGAAGCACGCCACCTCCCAATTGATTCGGTATTGTACAATACATATTACTCGCCCTCCCCTTCCAAGCCATTGACGACCCTCAACGCCCTTCTCGGACCCATGACAACACTGAAAAAGTTTGGTTCCCGCCCCTCAAGCAGTTGCTCCGTCGACGAGGTGCTCCCGCCACCGATGCTGACACTGCGGCGCGGCGGCCTATTACCGGCGGCACCGGCGGCAGCGCTCGCTCCAGGCGTCAACGAGCTCTTGTGGCTACTGACGTTCCCGCTCCAGCTGCCGCCGCTCCCGCCGCCGCCGCTCCGCCGCCCTTCCTCGTCAAACAGGAACCGCGGCTCGGTCGGCGGCCACGCAAGCCCGGCGCCGCCAAAGGACCCCGCGGAACTGGCCGAGACGGGCCGCGGCCGCGATTCGTGACTTCTGCCCTTTTCCAAGCCAGCGCCGGCGGCACCACCGCCCGCACCGAGAGTTGCTTTCTTGCTGTTACCCCAGGGGAACAATCCGCCAAAGAAACCACCCTTCGTCGCCGCTGGGACGGTGCCACCACCGGTATAGCTATACCGATTGGCCACGGCCAAGTGCCGCTTGTAGGCCCTCACCTGGCGCCGGTACAGCCAGGCGCAGTAGCCGAGGTAGGCGGCGGCGGCCCCGGCAAGGCCGGCAACGATAGCAGCGGCGATGATGGCGCCGCGGTCTCCGCCTCCTTCTTGGGGGTCTGAGGGCGAGCCAGTCGCGCCAGGCCCGGCCCACTGCGTGATGGTGGCGGTACCCCCCTCCGAAGCCGTGACGGTGAAAACGGGGGGTTTGCCGGTCGCAAAGGGCCCGCCGGTAGCGGGGCCGGCAGCGGGCGTTGTTGCCGTTGCGCCGCCCCCCGAGTCGCCTCCGATTACCTCGGCTACGGCGTCTGGCACGGTGTAGCCAAAGGAGTTGGCCAGCACGGAGTTGTCTGGCTGGTGGTCCGCCGGGTGCTCGAGCGCGGTGAACTGAGATTGCCACTCGAGCGAGGAGGCGTTGAAGATGAAGATACCCCCGGACGTGGGGGGTTCGCATGCTGGGTAATCTGGGTCGGTGTAGCCGCCGAAGACTATGATCTGGCCGTCGCGGAGGTTGCAAGTGTGTCCTGCACGTGCAGGCGGGATGTCTCCCGACTGAGGCGCCTTGATCCAGGTGAAGGAGGGGATTGAGAGGATGTACATGTCTGAGTACTGAGTTTGGTTTTTCTGTTTGGGTAAAAGGTGTTAAGAGGCAACGGACTTGGACATGCCAGCAGGAGCAAGGAGCTTACGTAGGGCTGCAAATTCTGGCCTCCATACAGGTAGATCTGGAAACTGGAGGCGTCGGGCGCCGAGGCAACAACTGCACAGGGATTGACTCTGACCGACGGGGTATCGCCCGTGGTCTTTTGATGGTACCATTCCGATGTTGCAATGTCATATACGTCGAGGGTACCGAGGTCGTCGGTAAAGGTGTCCACAGCACCGCCGGCGAGGCCGATCAGAACCCCCCTCTCGCCCCATCCGGGCACAAACACCAACACACCGTCTGCCCGTTCGGGAAACGCATCGGCCACTTGCAAGCCACCTTGCGTGATGTTCCTGTAGGCGCCTCCCTCGCCTGCCCCAGTCCCACCCGCCAAGGCATACACGCCGTCGTTGGTGTACCCCGGGTGGGTAAACTCAAGCAGGCTCTTCAGGTAAACCCTGGGAATGTGGATGGACCATCCGGGCGTGGTGGACTGGTCGAGATGCCCGCCAAAGTACCAGCTCAGGCCCAGTTCGGGCACGGACAAGCCGGCGCCTTCTGCAGCCCGTTGCACCGGCTGGTCGCCAGGATCTGAGTTCTTGCCGCCTGACGTTTTTGGAGAGGGGTATTCGGTCCATGTCTTGCTCTGGATGTTGTATCTCCATGTGGAAAACGGAGCGGGTTCGACATAGGGATTGTCAGCGAACTGGCCGCCGTAGAGATAGAGATTGTTGTAATCGTTCCAGAGGTAGCCGAGAGAGACGGCCGGAGGGCCGGAGGGTTGGGGCAACCCGCGTAGTGCGGGGGAGGTGGTAGACCAGGATTTGGTCAGGTCCAGGACTAGGAAGTCGTTGTCTGTGGAATGGATTAGGGCTGAGGCATGGGTTTAGGAGTGGGAGGAAGGGAACTTACTCCACGTATCGGTCGTCTGATCCTGCTTTGTCTTTGCCTGGCCGCCGTAGATGTACAGCGTCCCATTGAGTTGTGCGGCTTCCGATCGCAACTGGGGTTAGCAATCGCGGTTCTTCCCCCCTGCACGGTTAGGGGTTTCCCCTACTCACTTTGTTGAGCCCATCTCTTGCAGACATCTGTCCGGCTCTCGGCTCTCGTCTCAAGAACAGGGCCGGTTACCCCGGATCTGTTGCGGATGACGGGCCTAGCCCCCGCCGCGCTGAGCGGAACCTCCTGATGACCCTTGTAATAACTAAAGCAGGGAAGCACAACAGCAATGAGCAGCGCAATCGCGGAAAACCTCGTGAGCAAGAATGGACGAGGAGGCGGCACACTTGACTCAGTCTTAACTCTTAGGCGGCGACCCGGTGTAAGCCGAGAGTACCATGATCTCTTGGCTGCTGTTGGTTGTTGCGGTGGTGGTGGTGAACCGGGTTCGGGGGTTTCCCGAGACTGCTCTCCTGTCTCGGGTCTCGGGCCGCCGCTTGGGTCAACATTGGGCGGCTGCTCAAGGGTGTAAGTGCTGATGGGTGATGTGAGCTCGCCAGATCTCGGGCTCTGCTCGTTCGGGTACGACTGGCTGGGCAGGTCTGTGTCCAGTCCTAGCTCTTTGAAGATGGATTTTCGGTTCTTGGTGATCTTGCTCGCCATGGGGAATGAAGACGGTCCTCGAGAACCTTCGCGGATTCGATCATTTGTGTGTCTGTGGTGGAATTTGGGTCTTACAGGGCCCGAGGAGAGAATATCAGGGTCGGAAGACGACTCGTACTGGACGAAAGACATGATGGCGATAGCGGGAGGTACCGTACCGCTTAAGCTCTACATGAAGCCACCGACGACGATCCGCCACAAGCAGTGGTAGCGAGTGCCACTCATCAATCACTTGACGGCCTGTGACAGGTGGGAGGGTGGGCAGCGCGAGTGGCTGCAACCCAGCGATGAGGTCAGCGCGGGCGGAGCTAACGGCTGGGTGTGGCTCGATGCCAGTGGTGGTGCCCAAAGGGAGAAAGGAAGTTTGACTCGAATTGGAAAGGAATACTTTGTACAGCTTCTATGCTAGCCACTTGCTAGAGCTTGAGCAGATGGCACAAGATGAAAAGGAGCACGATGATCGTTGAGCAGTAGACAAACCTAGAGAAAAGCGAGGGCGTGGAACAGGACGGAGGTTCACCTTCATTCGTCACCGTTCCAAGAGACCCCTAACGTTATCATTCTACACTTATTCCTTGCGGCCATAAAGTAAGCACAAAGGAAATCCTGGGCATTCCAAAACCATGCCCACGGCAGTTCCAAGTTAGAGATGTAAAGTGGGTGGGAAGTACCTAACCTTGGCAGGGCCAGGCCAAAGGAATCAAGCACTGAGAACGACGACATCACTGCCAGGGAGTAGTAATGGGCAGGAAAGCTTCCAGTTGCAACGTATGACATGTCGCTACTGAAGATCAAATGAGATTGGGCCCGGGTCAAAGCCTGGCGACCGAAAAGGGAATTTGGGCTGGAACCGGAAACTGGTCTGGCTTGGAAAATGATGCTGGGTGGGGCTCGGTTGGGGTGCTGGATTTCTGGATTCGGTTTGGGAATTGATGGTTTTGTGCCTTGGCAGTTGGCTGCCTTTTAAGCGGCACCTGTTCTGATTCGTTCCCGGTGGTCGATGACCTCATCGCCTCTAGACATTACCTGTAACCTGATGGTACGGTAGTCGAGAAAACTCAAAGTGCCTCGATGCTATAGTATAGACTTTCATATTACTTTGGAGTATGGAGGGTTCATAGAAAAGTTGGCCAGCATTGACCGCTGCGGCGGATAGCGCATGCTGACATGTCCAATGCAAGTGCTGGCAACAGCCAACTTGCAGGTACGGAGTTACGACCACTATGTATGAGTACTGTAACGATTGCTATCATCGCCAACCATCTCTGTCCCGCCGGCTATGCCCCTGGGTTTGTTGCGCCGACGGCATGGGACAGGTAGCTTGTACGCAAATTTGTGCTCGAGGACGAGCACTGCACTTGGCCGGTAGAGCACTGATGGCCGATATGTGGTTTGCTCTTGTGCTATCTCGGGTGACCGTACTAACATGTGTATTGCTTCAAGTTTTATTGAAGTTTGGCACCTACCTAGGTAAGTACGCTGATGAGTTGATCGTGAAGATCGGATTGGGAAGAGATAAGGAAGGACAAAATGAATGAAAACAAAGAATAGGGGGAACGGAAACAAAAAAGGGGGCCCGATCGAAAAAGAAAAACAAGAGGGAAAGAAAAGAGAAAAGGGGGGAAATTGAAGGAAAAGACAAATTGCCCAGTACCTACCTAGCTACTAGTAACTGTACTAGTAATTGATGACTCGGATGCTTCCCTCGAGGCAGCGTATCCTTGGGCTATAGTGGCCTTGAGCAGCAAAGAAGGAGCCTGAAATTGAAAGGAAAGTCAGGTAGGAAACGTGAATAGCAATGGAGACTGATGGCTCAACCCTGGATGGCCGTGAGGACATGGGGACTACCTAGGAACCGTAGTTGCCAGTTGTGCTCCTTTCTATTGATGGTACTAACCTGCTTCTCCGATTGACGAATTGTCAAAGGGTAATAGTGGTAATGGGCAACTTTGAAAGCTGTTTGCGCTGGGTACATGTAAGAGTTGAAGTTCGTCACCATGAAGAACAAGTCCATAGTATTGAACAACCATCTAAGCCTGCCAATGAAGAGATTGTTCAAGTCACGACCAGATTACTACTAAGATTGATTGCATGCCTGTTCTCCCTTCTTATACCCAAGTAAGTTCTTGTCTCCAGATCCATGCATGTGCGGACAACCTGAAGCACATAATAACCGTAATATCCAGTAGGGAGGCCGCCAGCTTGATTTCACAATGGTATTTTACCTAATGTATGGAGCACTATCATCACAAAATGAACTAGGGTAATCAGTTTCATGCAGCAACGTAGCTAAGTTGAGACTACAATCACAATGCAGTGCTTGACTGAAAGCTCCCTTTCAGCTTTGCCCCTATTCCCATGATGGTAGGTGAAATCCGCGAGAGTATGCCGGCACCTAGCTTGTTGGGTTCAGTTGATGGATTCAGGTAATTGACGAAAGGCGACTATTATCGTCGAATCTACTCCGTACCGTGTTGGACAAAGAGAGAATCGGGCTTGTTCCGTACATGGTTCGGGTTGCAAATATTGGGTTCTCGGATGTAGTATTGTTCAGTACGGCATGCTGAATACCTACCTGGCTCTTTCAAGGGGTAGCTGACCATAGTCTTGACTCTTGACTCTTGAGTCTCATGGAGGGAGTGATGAACAAGTATAAAGCCCGGCACTGCCCTGGCTCCTATCATCTATGTGCCCATGGTTCAAGTTGTGGCATTCAGACACAATCGCATCATCACTTCATCAGTCCGTAATGTAACCTGTTTACTTGAGGTAGTCAATCATTTCCAGCGAGCCATCCACATAAACGATGGTTGTCATGTTAGTGAGTGAGTCTGGTCCGACGTTCCTTGGGCTATCTGAGGAAAGTAAATATTTACATCCCCCTTAACTCCAGCCAGACCTTGTTGGCTCAGGACGTCCTTGTCCGATTCGGATAAGCATGATAATCGATACGGTGCAAGATTGGTCAAAGGCAAGGTAGCAAGTAGTGCGCCACGCTTGAACACCATGTGGTGGTGATTGGTGAAAGACTGCCTTCGGCTTCAAGATGGAAAATGTAATACACGTGTACAGTACAGCTTCCCCGCATAGTATGTCTGCATCAGTCGGGAAATATTGGGCTTAGTTCTGACTGTAAAAGCTGTCTACGATGACATGTATATCCGTATTCTCTACCCAGACTCTGCGCAGTTGCGTTCGTGTTCCCAAGCTGTCGCCGACCTAAAAATAGCTCTTTCCCCGTATTGGTCCCGGCAATTATCCTCTGCCCCCGCGCTTTGTCTTCGTGTCCGCACAGCCGGGAAGTGTCCACCAATGCCATGCATCATGTTCGGGAGAGCCCAATATCTTACGTACAGAGGCGTTTTGCGGCCAATCCCAGCTAGAGCTGGCAGCCGTCTTTCCGTCTTCCGAACTCCAACTTAACGCATCGCCTTACCTCAGCCCGTCAGGCGCAGGCTTCTCAGCATGGAGCCGAGTAAGAGAAAGAACTCACCTCGTTTTCATGCCAGCCCGCATGCGGAGGTGTTCGATGCGAGGAGCTACCAAGCCTCGGGAGCCAGCCTGCCTTGAGGCTTCGTGTAGCAAGAATAGCCAGCACCGCGAGATCTGAGTGAGGAGTGAGCGGGAGCCATGTCGTGGCGTGACCTCCAACCTCGTGATGGTGGACACGAATTCCCGTCTCGGACTCGGCCTGGACTGAGCATCGGATTAGGTTGGCTTCGAGATGTATAAGAAGATGTTGATCATCTCACTTCTTCCGGTCTCCTAGCTCATCATCATCAGACACACTCTCAACTGAATCACCAGAGAGCTTCAGCTAGTCATCACAGCCCGTTCGAGACTCTCAAGTCAAAGCATCTCATCAACTGATTCAACTCTCAACCACAACAAACAACTCCAACAACAACCAACCAGTCAAGATGAAGTACACCGCCGCCGCCCTCCTCACTCTGGCCGCCACTGTGCTCGCCGCGCCCACTGCCGACAACCAGCAGCAGTGCACTTTCGGCACGTACCGGTGCACGACGCCCAACACAGGCATCGAGATCTGCAACGTGCAGGGCAAGTGGGAGCTCGTGGGCGCCTGCCCCGGCGGCACGTCGTGCGAGAACCTGCCCCAGAACGGCTACACTTTGCCCTTCTGCACCAACAACAAGCCCAAGATCGAGGGCCGCAACGGCCGCCCCGGCCAGAGCCCCGGCGAGAAGTGCAGCACCCCGGGACAGTACCAGTGCTTCGGCCCCTACGCCATCCAGGTCTGCGACACGCAGAACGTGCTGCAGAAGGTTGGCGATTGCCCCCAGGGCTCGCATTGTGATTATTTGAATGGGATTCCTTTCTGCGTTGCCAACTACTAAGGGGGAGGGTCATGGGTGGATTCAGGGGTTGATGGATTATGATATGATAGGGGTGCAAGATGGGTCCGAGGTTTTTGCATAATACGGAGGATTTTGGTACATAGCATTTATATGTCTTTTCGGGTCATTCCTTTGGAGCATTCATTGGTTAAGTCATCGGACGGGGTTGGAAGACATATTCATTGAAGGGGGCCATGATAATGATAGAAGTCACATATAGCACTGCACCAATCGAGGTGACACAATGAGCATAGGTACTCAACTTGACATTGCAACTTAGACTAAGACTTTTCTCTATGGAGTGATTGTAACTGATCTGCAACTCAACTGCAGTGTGCTCTGAAGGCCACGAGTACTAGACTATGGTCAACAGCTGAGGTACTACTAGTAATTAGTCGGATGTAACTAGGTAAGATAGGTACTTCGTACTAGTAGGTATAAGGTAGTACTTACTGTGTATGTACATGTAAAAGCAGGAACATCATCGTAGCATCGCAGGCCCCGCTACTGGCGGGAATCAGAATCCCTCAGGAATGGTGAATGCATTGAAGGATTCACTGGACTTAAGGAACCGACCTTGACAACCTTCCTTTGGCTGCTTTCCTGCCCGATGATTCTTTCTACGTTACCAGTAGTCACTGGCAGGGTGTGTAATACCTAAGTATTAACGGTACTATACTCTCTATCTAGCTGCTGCCTCCAGTCCGTACTTCGTTCATTCATTTTATCCTTTCCACCATCGATCTGCATCTGATTCTACCAGGGGGGTCAGCCCAGGTTAGGCACTTACCATAGGTACGGTAGCTAAGGCAGGCACTAACCTAGGCATCATAACGATCACCACATATACCTAGTAGTCACCATGTTCGAGTTTCCTCCAATGCCGTCCGTCACCGCCACTTGGCGCAACGACACCTATGCCGCCATCTCGCCAGAGCGTCCTGAGCTTAGTGCTAGGGGAAAGACGGTAGTCATCACAGGAGCTGTAAGTAACTCCAACCACTGTACTGCTGCTGATCCCTTCTACTCTCCATCCCCCGCCCTCTTTAAGTTGACCTACGCTATCACGTACCACATACTGTTACCTGGGCATTTGTCCTGCCCAGTCACTTGTCGGCGTTGTCGCCCTCAAGCCAACCCCCTGAGACGGAGTGTTATCGAGCATCACGTACAGCGTACATAGAGGGATCATTCAACGAGAATGGCTCCGCTGATCCTGTCGACGTCTCTCTAGGGTAGTGGTATAGGCAGACAGACCGCCCTGTCGTTCGCCAGCGCCGGTGCTGAGCGTGTGGTTCTCCTTGGGCGGACCGAACGCACGCTGAAGGAAACGGCCGGGCTCCTGCTCAGCACCGTGTCGGCCGTGGTTCACGCTGTGGATACCACCGATGAGAAGGCCCTCAAGGACGTTGCCGACTCGGTCGGGCAATGGGACGTTCTGGTTCTTTCTGCTGGCTATGCTTCCGCTGTCTCCACTATTGCCTCGACCGAGGTCGATGAGTGGTGGCAGGGGTTTGAGGCGAGTTAAACCATGACTTCCTTGTCTATATGAAGCAGCCCAGCTGATCCACGCGCACACACGTCACAGACCAATGTCAAAGGCACGTTCCTTGCTATCAAGAAATTTCTCCCCACGGCGAACGAGAAGGGCGCAGCCGTGCTCGCCTTGAGCAGCGGCACAGCGGCCTTTCCTACGCCATTGTCGCCGGGGATGTCCTCGTACAACGCGTCGAACCTGGCCCAGATCAAGGTTGTCGAGTACCTCGCAGCCGAGCAGCCAAACATCTTTGCTGCCTCGGTGCATCCCGGCATCCACGACACGGCTGTTCTCGCCAAGATCGGCGCAAAGCCTGACCAAGTGCCCCTCGACAACAGTAAGTGCTTCACGGTCCCAGTCATGCTGTGTGATTCCTACAGTTGACACATGGGATGCCAAACACAACAGTCAAGCTCGCTGGCGACTTTTTGGTCTGGATGGCGAGCCCTGAAGCTGCTTTTCTTAGGGGCCGTCAGGTATGGGCCAATTGGGACGTGGACGAGCTGAAGCTAGAGGCTGATGTCCTCCAGGCTGGTCGGATGCTGACAAGTGTCATGGGTGGTTGGCCATATCCTTGGCATCTGCCACATCATATGATCGGAATAGATCTGCCTTTAATAGCTGAGGAGAAGCTTGTGTAATATCCATGGCTAAGCCAACTCTTAGTGGGCAGGAAATATCTGCCTGAGTTTGCATGTTAGCCCTAGCATCAGAGCCGCTTCTCCGCCAATATGTGCTTCTCAACAAGCCGATCCAACTTGACATGATGCCCAAGCCAGGCACAAGTCTACACCGACCCAAACCCAGGGCGGAACTCAATGGGGGGGGTCATAAAAGTAGACTGTGTGCTGCGTGTAGTAAGAAATTGTGCAAAATAACTGTTCGATCGACGTACCAGAGTCTAAAACTGCCCATGTCCAAAGCCCGTAACCTCTGGAAGTGTGCTGTCCCAAATCCTCAACCATGCCCTCTCGTAGCAGCATCACTCAAAGCGACCGAATACACCTCAAACAGACCCCATCCTACCTACCAACCCTCCCCATCCCCCATCCCACTTCCCCCCCCGTCGCCAACCCTTCCCTCCAACCCCCAACTAAGCCTTCTCCTGCCCCCCGTCCTCCCTTGCCCCCTCCTCCCCAACAGCCACCAACCTGCCGACAACCAAATACTTCTCCTCAAACCTCTCCTCCCAGCCCCTCAACGCCTCCATCTCCTCAGCCCCCAAATCCGCCAGCGTATCCAGCGGCCCATCCAGATCTTTCGTCAACATGTCCTCATCAAAACTGCCACACGCCAGTCCCCTCGAGGCATCCCGCCCAGCAAAGTTTGCATAGGGTCCGCCGGGACCGTAAAAGTTGCGTCCGCGGGTCACGTCAAACACCCGTCCGCGCACCGCCAGGTACACGGGCATGCCGTTCTCCCCGTTGTAGGGGAGCAGCGTCCGGGGAGTGAAGGTTCGGAAGACAGTGGCCGGTTCTTCGCGCGGAAGGGAGGGCGGGGGTGTGGGTTTCAGGAAGGTGTAGGCTGTGTAGAGGAGCAGGCTCAGGAGGATTGCGTTAAGAGGGGTGAAGAGGGAGCTGCTGGTTGGGGGTTTTTGTGGTTAGTGGGTGGGGATGGAATTGGAAAATGGCGGTGCGATATGAACTGACTTACCTGCTGCTGGCATCTGTGTTGGATGCGGCTTGCGCAACTCGCTGTTGGACGTAGTCCATTGTGGTTGTGGGATTCGGAGCGTGATGGCGGAGAAGTTTGGAGGTCCGGAGCTTGAGCTCGAGGCGGGGATATCGACCTTCCAGGCTGGGCGGGATGTTGAAAGCTGAGCTGAAGCACTGTTCAAGTACTTCGTAAGGGTCCGTTTCTCATACACCAGACGCCGGAGTCGATCATGCAAGGGACGGCGGTCAGATCTTTGGAATGAGAGGATGTTGAGGCGGAATGGTTGCGGCTCCTTCGGCTCGGATCCAGGTTCGAACAGCTCACTCAGCACTCCGGCGGGGACCTGCAGGTCGGAGCTGCTGGATCGCGGAATCAGCGAGAGCTTGTAACTTACCGATTACTTACGAATATTACGTACCGGTACAGCATGTATTAGCCGCACGGGCCAAGCTCCATCCCGCTTAAAGCAGGAGCCCGGAAATCCATCACAGAACACGGGTTGTGCCGTCTGCAACCCATAATCGATGATATCAAGCTGTATGGTCCTCAAGGTGCGCATGTACTTGTCTCGGTATCCGCGCAGTTTCCCAGAACGATGAATGTCTTGTCGCAATGTCTCATCTCCTTTATCGAGCTTGCGGTTCTTCAAGAGGGAAAAGGGCCGAGGTTCGTCGCTTTTCTGCAACCAGCGCACTTAACACATTCACAAAGGACATCACTTACCGTATGATCTCGCGAATAAGGAAAATTAGATGTGGCTTGCCCAGCCAACCCAGCGCAGCAAAAGCGAGCAAAAGACGCAGGATAGCCACATCTAGCCACACCTGCCCGGTGCTCTCATTGGTGAATGTCTGACTTTGCGGGCTGAGTGTATCCACATCTAATTTTCCTTATTCGCGAGATCATACGGTATCTGAGTCTCCATACCCTTCCAACTCTTAAAACCATGAAAACGCGTCATAATCTAGAGCCACTGATCCGTTACTTGGGCCCGCCAAGCACCGGACATTTCTTCCATTGGCCCAGTCCGTCAGCCCCGAGCTGCCTCAAACGAGATGCTGTCCAACCCAGCCGGAACCGTTCCCTTGCCATGACGTATGTAGAGTGCTAGGTATAGGTATATATCACACTTAAACCGCTACTTCAGTTTGGCTCTCAAATTGCTCTCTACATCAAACACAATACTACACAACCCAAGCACAATGGATTTTGTCAACAAAATGACCGGCAAGGGCTCTAGCAACGCCCAAGCGAACCAGCCTCAGCAGCAGGGGGGTTCCAGCTCAGGCGGCATCATGGACAAGCTCCACGGAATGGCAGGCGGCGGTCCCGAGAGCGAGAAGAAGGAAGATTCGCTCGACAAGGGTAAATTTGTTCCCCTCACCTTGACAGCGAGACATTGCTATCTCACGAGCTGCTCCATGACATGGCCTCGGACAGTAAGCTAACAAGAACCAGGAGTTGATTGGGTCCAAGAGAATGTCCTTGGGCAGGGTCCCCAGAACAACGAGAGTGCAGCCGAGCAGGCTAAGGACAAGTTCATTGCTGGCCAAATCCGCGGTCAATTCCAGAACAAGCAGTAGGAGGAGGGAGAATGTCGTGCTGGTACACAGGCTTGCTCTGGCAACCGACTGAGTGGCGGACAGGTCATGTATCAATGGTGACTGATGACGCTCTCATTTGATGATGGATTGTATTCTTTTCAGCGTCTTGCATTTCACACCAAATTGACTAGTTAAAAAGCTGTCAGTCAGAAACTATGTTCGCACCAAATCAACGTGAATCACAATGTAGTATGGGCTCGAAAACCTAATCTGACACACATCTCAATAAAGCGTTGTAACAAACCATTCGAGGAGTAGTCGGAAGATATGATGTAGTGTCGATGGTTGATACGCCAGGTTGTCGATTTGTTCCATGGCCGTATTTAGGGACGACAGGTGCCATCGAGTTACAAAGGTCAGAGACGTATAGAAAGGAACACAGCCTCCTAAGTTGTTCTTCGCGAGTAATTGGAAGAAGGTAGGTAACCGCCGGGGCATATGTGACGTCGACGTGAAATTGCCCAACTCCATCCGTTCAGTATATATGTATTAATCATGTGTAATTATCGTACTTGTATGCACAGTACATAACGTTATAGACAAGGATGGCTCCTGAATCTTGATGCCGTGGCGGCAGTTTTGCGGCAGGTTCCAGGCTGCAGCGGACCCCACACGCAGCCCAAGACCCCTGCGATGGGGTCAGTTTGTCCAAGCCAAGGCCCGCGGGCGCAACCTGGATCTCAACAATAACGGCGCCTATCTCGACACTTCACAGCGTCCAACCCCAAACCTTTAGCCAAGTCCAGCCGGAAGCAAAGACCAAAGCCTGTTGTTCGTCCGATTTACGTTTTCCTACACTGCAAACTACACACGCTGTCGACGCTGACATTCAAGCTTTCTTGGCTTTTCAGCCTGGCTCCCCTGCTTGTTTCACCCAACTCCATCGGATAGCGCCCTGTGCATGTCTCCGCTCAACGACGACGTTGCCTCTCCGAGCCAACCCGGCATTCATCGAAAGCAGTCGATACCTGACAATGCAGAGCTAGCAGCTGTCTCTCAGAGCTCTTCTGCGGGCGTACTGGCAGCCCCCGAAGTTGAATCGTCGCCTGATGGCGCTCATGTGACCATGCAGGGCGCATCCGGGGACGATAACATGCGAGACCTCGGCAACGATGCGTCTCAAAACCCAACTGAGGACTCGTCCCACGCCTCCCGGGGCCTAGGCGACCAAATGAAAGAGCAGGGACAGCGATCCGAGGATGCAGGCGACCTAATGTCCTCTTCGATCGCCACCCTAAAACCATTGACCTCCCCTGCAACCACAACCGCCGTGCAGTATCTCACGACCGAGTCCAAAACTTACGTCGATCCCACACCGCAGACACCCATTTCTTCTCGGCCCCCTTCAAGAGCGCCTTCCACTTCCGCCAGGTCAGCCTATGAGTCGTCGATCGCCTCCCCTGCCGGCTCACCAAAATTAGATGGAACATACGACGAGAAGAGAGATTTCAGTGAAGATGAGCATGAACGCGGGTCGAGGTCGGAGATCCAAAGTATCATGGAGCAGTTCAGTGAGGAAGGCGGTGGCCCGGGCGCCCACGAGGTCATGAGCCCGCGGTTGGAGATGGCGCCTCCCTTCTTGAGCAACTCCATCCAGCACCCGCCTCGAAAATCAAGCCTAGAGCCCCTGGCTCCCTGCCTTGCACACCAGATTCAAGAGCTCCAGGGCCTTCGGCTATCGACGTCCTCCCCGGGAACAGCTCGATTAAAGGGAAAGGCGATCGACGACCAGGGACCGCCGGTCCCACCCAAAGACGCCAATGTCTACTCCGCTGCCCCGGGGCGCTCGCAGGACGATTTGCGTGGCAGCGTGGACTCGCCAATGTCCCCGATTACTTCACTCCACCGTCCCCCACCACCGGAGCCCGAACCCGAACCTCCCTTACCGTTTGACTTCCATCGGTTCCTGGAGCAGCTGCGCAACAAGAAGGCTGACCCGGTCGCAAGATACCTGAAATCCTTCTTGTCCGAGTTTGGGAAGCGGCAGTGGATGGTGCATGAGCAGGTCAAAATCATCAGCGATTTTCTTGCCTTCATCTCAAACAAGATGGCCCAATGCGAGGTGTGGAGAGATGTTTCAGACGCCGAGTTTGACAACGCCCGCGAGGGCATGGAGAAGCTCGTCATGAATCGGCTGTATAGCCAGACATTCTCTCCCGCAATACCCCCACCCCAACCAATACCCGGAGCAAAGCCGAGGAAGAGAGGCGGCGAGCGACCGATGGGCCCGGGGAGACGAGGTCAGCATCAAGAAGATGTTGAAAGAGACGAGATACTCGCCCAAAAGATCAATATTTATAGTTGGGTGAGAGAAGAGCATCTTGACATCCCGATAGTAAGCGAGAGTGGGAGGCGCTTCCTTAAACTCGCACAACAAGGTCTGTCGTTCCACGCATTCCGCTAGAGTCTCCTACTCACTCGGCGCAGAACTTCTGAAGATCAAATCCTACCGTGCTCCACGAGACAAGATTATATGCGTCCTCAACTGCTGCAAAGTCATTTTCGGTGCGTGGCTTCAATGGTCCCCCGTCGTCTAGCGCTACTGACGCTCCCCAGGCCTCCTTAAGCACTCAAAATCAGACTCCTCCGCAGACTCGTTCATGCCGATGCTCATTTATGTCGTCCTGCACGCAAACCCAGAGCACCTGGTTTCAAACGTTCAGTACATCTTGAGATTCCGAAACCAGGAGAAGCTTGGCGGTGAGGCCGGATACTATCTCTCTTCACTTGCAGGTCTTCCTGCCATCAGCTATTCGCGTGCTCTGCTAACAGTCGCAGATGGGGGCTATCCAATTCATCGAAAACATGGATCGTACCACGTTGACGATTACGGATGAAGAGTTTGAGCGGAACGTAGAGGCCGCCGTCTCTGCAATTGCAGAGAAACATCGTGCCGAGTCGCCCCCGCCCCCTCCTCCGCAATCAGAAAAGTCGGCGACCCTCAGACCGCGTACCGCTGCTGAATCCGGCCCTTCCTCAGCCCGCACTTCCCTCGACGCCGATGCGTCTTTGCGACCCACAACCCCACGCCGCTCATCCTATTCAAACGAAGCGCGAGACAGCGGCGAGTACAGCGGAAGTGACGAGAAAGCAGCCATCACAGGCCTGCTCCGGTCCATCCAGAAACCCCTGAGCACCATCGGCCGCATCTTCCTGGAAGAACCGTCGTCTTCCTCCTCGTCGACAGCAGCCGCAAGCACGAGCATTGCCAGCCCGGCACGGACGCCACTGCCGGAGCGCGCCGAGAGCGACTTGCGCGCGCGGCAGCTGCTGTCGGCCGAGGAGGCGGCGGCCCGGCAGGCGAGCGCCGAGGCCGCAGAGGCGCAGCGGCTCTCTCGTGCGGAGCACGCGAATGTGGTGGAAACGCTCGCGGGCATGTTCCCTGACCTTGATCGGGAGGTTATCAGTGATGTGGTTTATCAGAAGGAGGGGAGGTAAGTCGGCCTACCTATCGCGCATTCGTTAGATCCCAGATTGACTGACTTTGCTCTGGCAGGGTTGGATTGGCTGTCGATGCTTGTCTCGCGCTTTCTGCGTGAGACTGGACTCTTGATTAGTGTAATAGAGGGCAGCAGTTCGTTAGTAGAGCGTGCCAGGCTGGGATGCTGCTCTCTCGCTTCTTTTTCGTGATTATTTCTGGCTTTTGTTTGCAAGCATGGACGGTTGCCGGAGGCTATATATCCTCATTTCTAGGTTGCATCTGCATAGCTTGGGCCAGGTGCAACGTACACACACCCATACATACATACATAAGATAATGGTAGTATCATCCCGCTTGCTAGAGATGCTGTGTTGCTGGTTGAGAGACTCATGAATTTGCCAGTCATATGGCAAAATTGGTCTTCTGTTTGGGTCCTGGGCCTTCAGTCCACTGTTCCCCTGTCGCACGCATTTCTGCTTCCCTCCAAGAACTGGCGCAAGTTTGAGCGCAGACGGATTAGATACCTGTCAATACTCAAGGAGGGAGGTAGTGAGACTGTGAAGTGTCAAGCATAGTAACGGAGGCTTCTGCTCTGGAAGATAAACGTTGAGCATCCGGGGCTTAAGGAGACAAGCAGCCACGCGGTCTACATAGATTTGGTTTTGTACCCTTGTCTATCACTCAACAACAACCACAGCAGCTGCGTGGCGCAGCGGAAGCGCGCCGGGCTCATAACCCGGAGGTCACTCGATCGAAACGAGTCGCAGCTATAAACTTTTGCAATTTTTTTGGACCTCAGCAATCCAGATTTTTGCTGCATAACCATGGAGACATCTTGGTTCAGAGGTTCTTGCCTTTTCTTTTCTGGATTTTGCATTTTGTATCCGTACCGCCTGCCTTGCTCTGCCCTTCCTTCACTTCGCACCTTGCACGCTGAGACGCTCTTGTCAGGTTGTGAGTGTGAAGCCTTGCTGAGTCATCAAACCGCAATCGCCTATCAGTGCCTTATCCTACAAAGTACCAACCAAAACCTTCCAAAGGCCAAATCCAACCCGTCACGCCCATCGCCGCTTTCGAGTTCACAAATCCACTCTCTCAACTCTCAAGCCATTTTTCTCTTTTCCCTTTTTCTCCTCCCAACCTCCTGCGCAGCGCGGCGCAAATGTAAAAAAAATGTGCGGGATCCACGTCTCCCTCTCCCCATCCACATCCCTCTCACCGTCCCTAACTACAACCCATGATCCCTCCACCACCACCAACAACACCTCCTCCCCCTCCTCTCCCTCGTCCCCCTGGTCCCCCACCTCCAGCTCCATCCCAGAATCCCTCGCCCTCGCCTTGCGCGCCCGCGGACCAGACCATTTCGGCCAGGTCCAGCGCTCCGTTGTCACCCCCACTGCCGGCGGCTGGTTTGTGTCTCTGTTGTCTCTCTGCTTCACGTCCACCGTGCTGGCGCTGCGAGGCGACCATGTCGCGCGCCAGCCGCTTGTGGGTGATTCTCATGGCGGTGAGGGGTCGGTGCTTTGCTGGAATGGCGAGGCGTGGCGGGTTGGTGCTGGTGCTAATGGTGTTGGTGAGGGGGGTGGGAGGGTGATTGGGCTTGGGGAGAATGATGGCGAGGTTGTGTTGGGGTTGTTGATGGCTGCGTCTTCTTCTGTTGGTGCTGGTGCTGGTGGTGGTTGTGGGACGGGCTCGTCGGTGCAGGCGGTGATTGAGGTTTTAAGGGGGATTGAAGGGCCGTTTGCTTTTGTCTATTATGATGCTGCGGCTCAAGTGTTGTTTTTCGGTCGGGATTGCTTGGGCAGGCGGTCGCTGATGATCAAGCACGACGCGGGGAGTGGGGAGATGGTACTCTGCAGTGTTGCTGTTGAAGGCGAGAGTTGGAAGGAGGTTGAGGCGGATGGGATCTATACGGTCAAACTGCGCGCAGGAACTGGGATGCTTCCGGAACGCCATGAGTGGCTTGTTGACGACGGCGGTCCTGACTTGGTGAGTACATCGTCGCTCGTCCGGGCAGACTTGCGGTGTCTTTCATCGAAGCGGCTGTCCTGTCAGACTTACTCTACTGGCTGCAGGTCTCCGGAATTGGCAGGTTCAATAAGGCACTTCCCTGCGGCGACCATCCTGCGCTGACGGCTGCTTCGTCGTCGGTGGCGGAGCTTAAGGAGCAGCTGGTTGAGTCGTTGAGGTTGAGACTGCTTAATGTTCCCCAACCCCCTTGTGCAAGCGGCAACACCCGGGTTGCTGTGCTGTTCTCGGGTGGACTGGACTGCACGGTGCTGGCAAGGCTGGCTCATGAGGTGCTCGAGCCCGATCAGCGAATAGATCTCCTCAACGTTGCCTTTGAGAATCCTCGGGTCGTTGCCCAGCTCCGAAAGGAGTCCAATGGCAATCCGCCCGACGTCTATGAAGCCTGCCCGGACAGGATCACTGGCAGGAGGTCGTTTTCAGAACTGCAAAAAGCCTGTCCGGGGCGGGCATTTCGGTTTGTGGCTGTAAGTTGTCCCTGGCTCCCCTAGTCCCCGACATGCTCGGTGCTGACGGCTTCAGGTAAACGTTCCATACACGGAGACTCAAGCACATCGGCATCAAGTCATATCCTTGATGCGTCCTCATAACACGGAAATGGACCTTTCGATTGCCTACGCCCTGTATTTCGCGGCCCGCGGCCAGGGATGGTGCACGGAAAGCTCCAGTCCCAATTCCCATCCATCACCGTACACGTCCCCTGCACGGGTTCTCCTTTCTGGCCTAGGTGCCGACGAGCTCTTTGGCGGGTACTCTCGACACCCCTCCGCGTTCCAGCAGGGAGGCTACGCCGGCTTGATTGATGAGCTTCTGCTCGACGTTGGTCGGCTTGGCAAGAGAAACCTCGGGCGAGACGATCGAGTGATGGCTCACTGGGGTAAAGAGGTGAGGTTTCCATATTTGGATGAACGTCTAGTGAGATGGGCGATCCAAACACCGGCATGGGAGAAGTGCGATTTCGAGCATGGAGAAGATGTCAGTGGTGTTGAGGCAGGCAAGAGGATACTACGTCTTGTGGCGCTGGGGTTGGGCTTGCCAAACGTGGCCAAGGAGAAGAAGCGTGCCGTGAGTATAACATCTACTTCCTGTCGCATTGGGCATACACATTGACTTTGTTGCAGATACAATTCGGCTCCCGGACGGCTAAGATGGAAAGCGGCAGAGTCAAGGGAACGACACCGATATCATGAGATGTCGGCGTCTGGGCACATGCGGGCGATGATGATAGATGACAGATACTTCTGAGTCACGGTCGCGATGGCAATCCCGTATGGTCTTGTGTGATGCATTGTGGTTTCCCTCCGAAGCCCTTGCTTGCCGGGCCACTGGTTTGCATCGTTCTTTTGACTATGAAGTTAAAAGGCAAATCTGAGCCCAATGTTTGTGAACCTTGGCCTCTAGGCGGTTTAAGATGCCCTGGCATGGACGCAGGGCGCGTCGCTGAAGGTCTACCAGAGAGTCCTCTGAAGATATTACCTTGAGCCGTCGTTCCGGCGCGCCGCTGACCACGCGTTCATTTTGTGCTTTGGTAGATGGACAGACAAGTGCCACACAGCCGGTCAAGTGTTCTCCCTCTTGCCCTGGACTTATTAACAAAGTTGGCTCGACCATGGTTTCAACATCAGGAGACCCCTAAAACTGTGTTGTAGCGCCGGCTGGTGCTGTGGTCACCGGTAGAATGAGCTTGCCTCGTTCGCCCCCTTAATGACCAAGCCAGCATTGTTATGTATTGTATGTACAGGGAAGAGCAAGCCAAAGATCCTGACAGACTGTTGCTTGTTGGCATGGCTCCAAGGCCGCCCTTTTCTCCTTCTGGCCTGGCCAGCCACAGCCGACTCGCCATACACCGTTATCCCCGAGTCGGCTAGCTCACTCATCATCATCGTCAGATCCATAGTCGACCAGTAAGCCCCCAGGCTTAGACGGGCCAGCGGGTGGGACCTGCGCCGGCGCTATCGCCGATGTCTCCTTGGGTAAATTCTCCGCCTCTGAGATTCCCCCTTTATCCCGCGACCCTGGCTCTTCCTTGTCCCGTTCCCCTTGTCGACCATCGGCAGGCGCTAACCGCCCTTTGTCATCATCTCCTTTCCCCTCACCCACAGCTTTACCAATACCCCCCTCAGCAGTCCCCGTCCCGGTCCCAGTCCCGGTCCCATTACTCGACCCCCTCCTCAAACCAGGCAACGGCAACGGCAACCCCTTAACCCTCTTCCTCCCAGCGCCAGCGCCCTCCCCCTCCTCCTCCCCACTCCCCGCCCTCTTCTTCTTCTTCTTCCTCCTCCCAGCCGTATCCCAACCAACCATCATCACCATCTCTTCCAGCTCCCCCTCCCCAACCCCACCCCCACCACCACCTGCTGTTCCACCAGATTGCTGCAACCTAGTCCGTTCACGAAACACTTTCAACCCCTCCTCCGTCTCCCTCCGCACACGCTCCTCCTCCTCTTGGCGGCCGCGGCGCACCCCGTCCAGAAACTCGACCTCATCATCGTCCAGCGGGCGGAACTGGTTCTTGATGCGGTGCGCCTCGTCAAACGCGGCCTGTTTCGCCGCCTTGTTGGCCTGCAGCACGTCGTACAGCGATTTCTGCTCACTCCCCGGGCCGGTCCGGGCGAGATTGGCTTCTGCGCGCTGCCGTCTCTCGGCTTCTAGTTGTCGGGTTGCTTCGGCCCATTCTTCTTGTCTTTTGTTTGGGTTGGTGCCACTGGTACTACTACTGGAGGTGCCGGTGGTGGTACTTGTTGTTGTTGTTGTTGGGGGTGAGGTGGGTTCCCCGGTGGCGGCGTTGATGGCGCCGGCAGAAATGAAGCGAGATGACATATTCTTTATTTTCCCTTATGCTTTTCCAAGTGGTGGATATGGGGCCTATGTTATGCGTTCCAGGTGGAGAGAATCTGAGATTATAAGGTCGAACGTGAGAGAGGGTAAGTGCTTAAGAAAGGGAACGGACTACTGAGCCCGTCACGTGTGGCGGATCACCTCGCTCGGTGGCCCGATGATTGAGAATCCAAGACTCAGTCCTGTCTAACGGGTCGACGAATGAAAGAGCATATGTTGGTGTTTTGGCCGCAGCAAAACAGTTTCCACCTGCCAAAGCTTCGAAATCAGCAAGTGAAATGGCCTGCAGTCACATCTTTGCGGAATGAACGAGACGAAAAGTGATGGACAGCCGTTGCCAGCTGGCTGGCCAGATGATCCCCCCTCTTGAGGGCACAAGAATCTTGAGCCGGAAAATCAACCTGGAATCACCTCAAAACAGTACATACGGATACAGGATGTAGGCATTATCAATGTTTGTATTTGTAACTTTGTTATTTTATCAGGGTGTCACCTGTCCAAAGCCGAATCAGATTCCAGAAGTCAGGAATTCCACCAAGGAAACGGTCTAGCAGCACCTCTACGGGCCGCGCTGTGCGAAGACCTCCTCGACAGCCGTGTGACTCCCGCCTTGAATGCATCTTCTTGCTTCCCAACCCTGGCTTTTAACATTCCAATCTCCGTCATATTCTTTTCCTCCTTCCCCTAAGCTTCGTCAAGTCGTGATTGTCAGGTGGGCTGTAGGATACAAGCCGGAGAAAAAACAAATCCCTACCAGCCTCTTGAGGGATCTCCCCAGAAACGTAAAAGGCTTCGTCCAACGCAAATGCTGTCCTGATGCTGAAGTACCTCCTCTCTAACTAAGGGGGCGCATATAAATCCTATCAAAACCTTCTAACCGCAACTCTGCAATGGAAAAGGGACCTAGTTGGCCCAAAAGGCGACCTTCATCTGCCGTAGCCAGGGCCCTATTGCCCCCAAGCGTCTAAGTGGACACTGTCACTGGACGGGTGCCTGCTGGCCAAAAAAACAAGAGAGAATTAGACAAAATAGAAGCACCAAGGAGTCATACCCCCACCCCCTATTCTGTGTCAGAAAGAAGTGAAACGAAGGCGAAAGGAAAATGCAACAGGAACCTCACAAGTCCAACTTTTCACACCTCATGACCCAATCCTGTAAAAGCAAAGGGGGGAAAAAGGGAGAAAAAAAACACCATTAATTTTCCGTGAAATAGCAGCGAATATCGATTTGGGAACTGCCTTTTTTTTTTTTTCATCGAAAGGCGACGAGACAGTTCCAATCCGGCACCTTGAAAAGGTCGAATATAATCGCCGGAGAAAAAGGCGTCACTCCAGAACTTCGCTCCCGTACCGTGCCAAGGTCCAGTAGACCTGGGTCCAACACGGAGCCCAGAAGATGAGGCCAACATATGGATCGCTAGGAAAAACCATTTCGCCGGGTCTATGACCGAAACCTAGGATGTGGAAAGCCGATGTATCGAAAACCAAACGCCGATGGTACTAATAGCTTGAGCCGTATCCGAAGGGAAATGACATTACCGACGACCGGCACAGGAGGGAAAACAATAAACGGTTTGGTAGTGCGCGAATCATCTTTTTTGTCGCCTCTCATCGTCTGAGCAGCCACGCTCCGCTGGCAGAAATCAGAATGCGAGCGGAGGAGTGACAAACTGAGTGGCAACTCCTGGAGAGTAAGAGGCGAACAACGCCGTCTCCGCCAAATGATGATAATCCAGGCCGGTCGTCGTTCGGGGTATCTGAATGCAACTGTATCGAATATCCGATGTGCCTGAGAAAATAAGAAAATTTCCGCGTTGGCGGGAAGATGCGACATATTTTAAATCGCGCCTGATGAAAAAGCAGTGGCCGAGCACGGCCCGAAAACGCCCAAACGTGCACGCGCAATCATCTGCATCCGAAGTTTGGGCGCGAAAGCCAAATCGATCTAGCCGGCGACTGGCTGCCCGTACGCGTGGCTCGTAAAGTACGCCGGTGGCTTGTTGTGCACACCGATGCAGCTGCCACAGTTGCAGTCAGCAACGCTAGCATGTTCCCATATGCTGTGACCGTAACCATAAAATGGACCGAAGTTGCCTGCGGTGCGGGAGGGATGGAAGCCTTGGCGAAAAGTGTTGTAGGCTGGGAGCTGCGAGTAATGTCTGGAGGTAGCGTTGTTGTTGCCGACAAGGGCTCCATCAAACCACTCCATGTAGCTCGTGTTGAGAGATGCGGTCGAATTGGTATATTCGGGAGTGCCGTATCCAGAATCAGGAGGCGTTAACGGGGTGGTCTGTGACCAAGAGGACAGCGGATGACCCCAACCTGTCGGCTCAGGCCGAAAAGAGGTCGTCGTCAATGGCGCGAGGTTCCGTTTCAAGCTTGATAGACGCTCATACTCGGCCACTTGCTGCTGATGCCAAGTTGAAATCCAGGGCGAGGCGCGGGACCGTGCCATATCGGGCTCGATAGGCGATGCAAGAGTCACCAAGCGGTCGTGACTAGCCTGCTGCTGCCTCTTTTTGGTCTCCTTCCATTCCTTCCAGTTTGCCAGCCAAGCCTGGTAATCCTTGCTGCCATCCAAGTTGACGTAAAGACCCCATTGGATCGCACCTAGCCACTCATATTCCAGAGTGTTGAGCTCCTGAACAGGGATACCGCTCACTTCAGACCAGGACTTGTTCTGGAAGGTGTTATCGTCGAGAAACTTGCTCCCGAGAAGCAGTGCGATGGTGAGCATGCGCCATATCTGACCCTCTGTGTGGTTGTTCTGACCGTCCTGGTGCATCATGTTGATGCGCTTGGCCAGGTAGTTCATGCCGAGAAGAATCGTGGTGCTCGGAAGCCGAGTCGACGACAGGATCTGCGACACGAATTTCCTAAACGCTGGGTTGACCGATCTCTGAGGCATTACGACGCGCGTTGCCATCTCGGAGACATAGTCGGCCATCAGCTCGACATCGTAGTCGAGCACCGCGCAAACGCCGCCAGGCATGGTGACTGCAGGTGCCTTGCGTCCGAAAGATGAGGTGGAGGGTGAGGCTCGAACTGCTTCAAGCAGCTGGAAAAGAACGGTCTAGCGGTGGAAGTCCACGCCACACCGGCACTCCCAGAGCTGAAGAGTCGAGAAGATCTCGAAGGGCGAGGGAGGTCGAGATCTACTGGCACGCTCGAGCCATAGAGTGTAGATTTCCCTGTTCTACACGGTAAAGGGTTCGGCCACGGTCGGACGACGCGAAACTCTCCCGCCTTTTGGTTATGAGATGACCATGCAAGAGCTATGTCGTCAGCTCCTTGTTGGTTGTCGGAAAACAAAGGCTTTGTTGAAAAATAACACGGGCCCGAAGACTGCCCAAGCAGTGACCGAACAGCGACGGCGAAGAGAAGAATATGAGAAAGCTGAAGGGAATGTTGAAGCACTGCAGATGTCTTGTCAGTTAAGGATTCTGCATGTTGTGTTACGCCATGTGTACCAGGAGAGTGCTGTCGGGCTGAGTGGACTGAATGGTCAAAGGAATCCTTCAGGGTGGTGCATTAGAGAGTCTCTGATGCTGAGACCACCCTGGTGCCTTAAGCCTAGACCTAAGTGGCCAGGGCTATGGAATGGAATGGGGTCCAAATCGCGTTGGAAGTGCAGCGGTGGACGGACCAAAACAAATCGATGGGGCGATGGTGGTATCCAATGCGGCTCGATCGGAAGCCACATTCGCGCAAACATGACGGACGGAAACAAGAGAAAGGCAAAACGAAAGAATACGAACCTTGCTGAGGGAATTGACCGAGGTGATGCAATTCCGTGCTTGCGCTGAGGCGACGACTGCCCTCCCAAAGGTGTTGGTGCTGCAAGCGAGACGACCGACAAATCCGGCACTCCGACACTTCGACTGAGAAAAAAGCAGCTCGTGTCCAGTAGCGAAATCCTGTCGCGGTTCGATTCAACGAGCGGCTGAGAGCAACAGCTGAATCTTGCCGTGAACGACGCAAAAACGAATTTGGTCGTTCGAGGATTGCTAGGCCTTTGGCGGGTTCTGCAGCGACGGTCGAGGATGGCGGAGAGGACACGGCATGAAGTGGAAGGGGAGGCGGGCGGAAGAGGAAGAAAAAAGGATGCTCTCTGCTGCTGAGGGATCAAGTGGAGAGTGGCTCCAGGGTTGGTGGCCGGGCGGATGGGGCAAGTGAAAAACACCTCGCTAGCGCACAGATTTAGGTGCGATGGCCCACAAGTGGGTGGCCCCGGCTCGACTGGTCACAGGCGCCGTCGCGCCAGACGAACCTGGAACTGGACAGGGCAGGCCTGCCGACTTGTGTTGAGGAACCAGAGCAATATTTTGCGCACTGCACACCAAAACGGATGGGTCATTCCCATCGGCATCACTGGAAAGCCATTGGCGCAGAGTAAGAGAGCACGCCGTTTCCCTCGTCAACTCAAATCTGTCATCGGCATCACACTGTCAATCAGCAAGCGCGAGAAGCCCAGTGCAATTTCATCAGCCCCCAACGGCAAACGGCTAGAGGGGAGTGTGTGCATCACCATTTGTGGTGATGACGGAAATGATCAGGGTCCGTCGTCAAGAGTCAAGCAAAAAAAACTCGAGGGTGGCCAGATCGCTGCCAAAGGCTCAGTGGTCGCTGTGGAAGCCACCACCAGCAACGGGATCCACACATAACAAGGGTCTACTGTGGTAACGTTAATCAGCGGATACGGACAGGTAAGAACGTTACTTACGGATACATACGATACAGAAGCAGCGAACAGGGTTGTCTGGTGTACGAAGTAGATGCACCGTTTCGCGCCCATCACTGGTGTGGCTTGTTTCCCTTCCTTACCTAGAAATAAGTATCACTGGTCTCGGGAAGAGATACTTCGTACAATAAGCTTCGAACTGTGGCAGTCCCGTGATGGCCACTGCCCACTGAGTATCGTATAGTAGCGCGTACAAGTACGACTTAGGTCAGGTGGGTAATTACCTTAAGGTAGGTAGGCAGTGTTGCCGGTTGAGGTATGGAGTTTGTTGTATAGTAAACCTTCGTACGAACTAACGTTATGAGGAATCCGACTCGTGTTCCCCTTCTCACTCGGTTTATTATGGAGAGTGTTGCTTGATACGGTACTCACAACTCGTTGCAAGATTCGAAGTTGTGGCGCAGAGTCCGTACATTGTGGCATGAGAGTATCAATAGATCACAATACACGTACCCAGACACATCCAAAGCCTGCCAGCCTCATGAGAGCAGTCGCCAGCATTCCTGTCACTTGAAAGTCATACCTAGCTGAGCAGGTTGAGGTTACTAGAAAATGACAGACGAGGCGCATCTATAGATGGTGATAGAGGCTGTGGCAGTGTGCCTCGTTAGTGGTATCCGTATGTATCAGCCGGCGACTCAAGCCACAAAGATCACGATCCATTGCGACCCCATTCTCACCAATCGTAACAATCCTTCAAGACTGTCGGCCAAAGTGAACCTTCAAAGAGTCTAAGCCTGTGCGAGTGGATCTCGCCAGTGTCGATAACCGGAGAAAGGAATGTCAAACGAAGGGCCAAGGCCATCAGAGAGATAGGATCTCGTCCCGTACCTAACTTTACCACAATGAATTCATAAACTGACGAGGGCACAAGAGGTGGAAAAAAAGTGAACACAACGCCATGAATCGACACCAGCCACAGGAACCTGTCTTCAGGAGGCACAGTTGGAAGTCACGTCACCGGACACGGCCGCTTCAACGTTCAGAAGCCGTCCCAAATCCCAACAGACAGGCTGCCGTGCGAGTCAGCAGAGAAGCTCGATACGTACTTCGCACTGCGGCCGGTTGAAGGAAAAGGAATCTCGGGAAAAGTGCGTTGGGCGTTCCAGCGTATCGGAGAGCCAGTCCGTGCAGTGACGGGGCCCAGACGCACCCCACTGGCGAGGCGCGGATGTCTAAAGAAGGCGGTCAAGGCTAACGAACCGGGTTCCATGATCTTGGGAAATCGCGGCAGTGATGAGTGATGGGTGCAGCCTAGCAGCAACATTGGAGCGCACCAAGTTGAGTCAGTCCATCACCGTTCGATGTCATGCCAGTGCATGTTTGACGGGGGACGGGTTGCGCAACTGAAACAGCGTCAGTCAGTCGATGCACCCAACAACTACTCTGTAACGTTAAACATAATTCAGCTCGCAATCAAATGACCTGAGAGAATGGACCTCGGAATCTGGAAGGACCGGCCTTCGACGAGATCGGACCTTGTTGTTCGTTGTATGTATTTGTATCCGTAACGTCGTGTACAATACAGTACGTAACATACGTATCGCGGATACAGGATTATTTCCCAGCCCGTTTTGCTAAACCGCTCTTCGTGATTGGCTCCCTTAACCTCAACTAATGTTCTTCACTAATTTCCCCTCATTCACCTCGGCCCTACCAAATATCGCCAAGTTAAAAGACATTTCAAAGCAGTTTTCTGCTTCGGCTCCAGTTCGCGGTACGCAACCACCGATTGAAACGGTCTGGCAGGATGTGGTGCTGACATCCTGCCCTTCCGACTTCTCAACGAGTCCGGGACGGTGGAAGGCAGTGACGTTCGAAGTCCGAAAGCATTGCCCCAAATTTTCAGCCGACGCGACCCGTTTCAAACCTCAAAGCCAGCTCCGTCGTTCGCCAGGCACAACTCTGAGAGAAACCACACAAAAACAACCTAACATTTACATCTACAGCTCGAAGCCGCTGAAAAGTGCCAATTGCCTTCGGCTTCTGTCCGCTGATTAATTGACTTCGCTGCAGATGTTGCCGGGAAGTTTCCACTCTTCTCAGACGGGACTGAAAATGTAAAGGCACGCACCCGCTCCGCAAGGCGGTGTGGCAAGTCTGCCCAGTGCCCACCGAGTCAGACGGATACCACCACCTCTTTTGGCTCTCCTGCATCAAATGCCCCAGGCTCCGCTAGATCCGGGTCGTTGTCGGCGGGGTGCGAAGTGTCTTGTTCTGCAGACAAAGCTCCAAACGTTGACTGCTTTTCTTTTAGCGATGCCGTCCATTCCGGCCGCCAAGGAGTCGTTGGACAAGGTACTGTACGCTACACCCTGCGGAACTGTGGCGTCCAAATCCAGATGCAGGTGCTTCGTCCCTGCCGCAGGTTCGCCCCCGGGCACCGGCTTCCCATTCCAGCATCTCAACGATGTAATTCCAATGACCAAACTGGGAATACTACTGGTGGGCTGCGGTACTGCACTGTACTCTTCACCACCTCAATCACCTACCTCGGGCTGAGCAACCGGCGGCAGGCTCACGTGGTTGTCTAGGTAACACTCTAGGTTGCCTTCGGGAGAGTTTGGATAAGGAGCTCTTACTACGTACAACACGATTCATCACTCGACGACTGCCTGCTTGCTTGCGTAGGCCGTTGCCACAGCCAAACAAACGTCTTGCGGCATGAGCAATGCTCAGGAGTCGTCATCCGCGATGCTGACAAGGGCATAGTCAGGGCATCTAAGCTTGACTGACTATTAACCCGTACCCCGTACAACATACACTAAAGTACTCACCACTCAACGCGGAAGTCCACTTCATCCCCACTGGTTCTCACTGGGCCGGCTCGAGTCTCATCAGAGTCGGAGCCCATTCCGTGGCCCGACCCATCGGCAGCTGCGGCGGCGTCCTCCGCTCCTGATCTCTTTGGAGTGCGAGCAAATCTGGTTAGAATCGGCGTTGGGCAGAAACATCACGCGCAGAAGCGGAGGGAGATGTGACCTGCAAGTGTATGATGGACCTCCTCGTCGAGAGCCAAAATATAACGCAGTCACATCCACCGGCCACTTTTAGCCCCTCCTATTTCCGGGGGCATTGAAGGGGGGGAATTGGGCTTGGCCTGCCGCGCGTATGCACTATAGCAACAAATTTTCATCCCGTAAGTCAGCGGCGGGGAAAGGGAAAAGGAGTTTTCCATGAGTTTCGTTTTCTTTTCCTTCGACTGCTCTGTCTGCTGATTCCCTCCAATAGGGCTGCTCTATCCGAGATCAAAAAACCGGGATGGGCCAAGAACATTTTTGAGGGGTTTTGATTTTTGAGGGGTCCAGATTGTGTCACATCGCATCTCTTCCAGAAGCCAAGAGGCCCAAGACTGGCCCCGGGGAGAGGATGAGCGGAATTTGGATTCTCAAAAACACCCCGTCTGCACCCCAGTACGACCCTCGATATTGGAACCGATGCTGCCGGCAGGCCGTCTGGTCGCTTCGGCCGCCAGAGTCGCGATATAATATCTTTGGGGTCCTTCTGGCGGCTGGTGTAAAATCATCCATAGGCTGACTCCCTCCCGCCCCCTCGGCTCTGGTTCGGTAAGATCTTCTTGGTTTAGCTACGGGGCCGCATGTTGCATCATGGCGCGTAAAGTCGCCGCCCGTAAGGATCGAGTGCTCCATCCGGCGCTGGTGGGCCTAGGGTAAAAAGAAGCTAATACACTCCCATCACGAAGCGAGTATTGCGTTCGGGACGGATTGGACGACGCCGCCTCCCCATTTCACTTAAGTGTACGTCGGTTTTGCAGCTCACTTACCAACTACAGCAAAGAGTTCTCCTCGCTAGACATCTGCAAGGTGGAGCATCGGTCAAGTTGCATGCGCCCATCGGTCGGCGTTTCACTCCCCAGGGCGAAGTCGGGGCGAAGTTTGATCTGATCTGAGGTGAAAGGGAACCCCGAGATCTGGTCGACTTTCCTCCGGAGATGCGCGGCTTGCGGCGGGAACTCTCCAGGACCCGCGGCATGCGGCATGCGGATGACGGAAGTTCCCCTTCCCGGGTTTTGATGGCAAAAGTGGTTCTCATGGTCGGGTGTGTGTAATAGCCCACCTTTTTTGCCATCAGCCCAAGTAAAAGCCTGTCATGATGCAGATGGATGCAGCTCGGCCGCTTGGCTGCAAAGATGGCCAACACCTTTCAACCATCATTGGTTTTCCTTATGAGGGAACTCCGTGGCTTTCGCACAGCACGTGCTGTGATCGTAAACAACATATAAAAATAATCAAGCAGCTACCACGCTTATGATAGATCCTATACTACTTATTAAATTTCCCTCGATCAATGCTCCGGTTTTCGCAATGGAGAGTTCTTGTGAGTATGCGGACGATAGTTACCAGAATTGACCTGAGTTTCCCTCCTTGCCTTACGAGCTAACCTAGCAACGTTCATCTGGGGCAAACTCCGACGATCCTAGTTAGGAGATTTGTATTTCACCAGTCACCTACATCATGACCTGCCCTACACTACAGTTGCCTTGCCTCACCTGCGCCGCCTGGTTTTGCGCTGCTCACTTGATTGCCTTCGTCACAACGCCTTGTCGTCAACATCTAAGCTGATCAACTCTTCATGATCTCACAGTTGCCCCCCGTCTCACCTACCAGTGATTTGCTTGGAGTCACCTACCAGGCTCGCCAGGATTGCTTAGAGTCACAGACCAATTCCGTCGCCTGCACGGGGTCGCTTCTCACTTGCCAATAACCCCGGCAGCAGTCAGAATGCTATCTGTCTCAGCGAGGAGCTGTTTTACTCGGTGTTCACGATTTAAACTGTTCGGTAGAATTGTACGCCGAAGAAGATGCAGCTTTGTCAATACGTAGTGCGGATATCTATCAGACACACCAGGTACTGTAAGTCCCTCTGGGAATGCCGTACGGAACATCAACGGCTGAACGGATCTGAGAGCCGAACGAGGAGCCAATGTATAACAGGAACAAGCACCACCTGAATCGGATGAAGAGGCCTGGTTTCCCCAGATCATCCATTCACTTCTTCATTTACACTCTTGGATCCATAACTTAACCAATGAACATGACGTTGTACGCGGGATCCCTTTCCTCTCCAATTCCGTGCTTGCCGCGGGCATGAAGGAGGGTTTGGGCACAAGCGCATCTGTAGGTAGGAAGGTATATAGCCTTTGGAACCGGTTTCTTCACGGCCCGGGCCATACATAGATGTGGTTGCAACAAAACGGGGGAGCAAACAACCATCCGCACATCATGATATGACTGGCCACAAGGAGGCGACGCAGCCGCCCTTGTGGGTTCGAGTTCCGTAACACTTCAACTTCACCAACTGGACGAGCACAAACTGGAAGGAAGCCTGCTTGCCGTATCTCAGCTTCTAGTAGTATCCCTAAGGAGAGAGGCATGTTACTTGAAGTAAACAGATAGATACATGCAAGAACGGATGCAGCACGACACAACATGGCAACTTAAAACAGACAATGGTTGTTGACACTCTAAGCTGGGCGGAAAACCAACATTGTATCTCTGTAGCTGTCTGCTCACTGGCACACGAGTAGAGACTTTGACATGGACGGTTTTGAACAAGAGCAAAGGAGGGTGACTTGCATGTATTGGAGTCACGGTTCAGGGGAGAAAGCCACAACTGCTGCATGTGCCCGGCAAATACGTCCTGAAGAAATTCCCCAGAAAGGCACCTCCGGGACACGGGGCTACTTTCGTACTCCAGCATACATGAGCCTGGTTTAACAATGACAAGCCCAACTAGAAGCCCTTTTTTCGGCGGTGATAGTAGCAAAGGAACTGTATGAATGACTTGCTGCTTGATAGTCAAGCGGAGACTCTAAACAGCCTGACAGTGAACATCCAGGAACACATCAAACCAAGCCTTTGTAACACAGAAGTTCTCCTGAGCGCTCTATCATCTCTCCTGGGTTATGACAGGGCCGATAGGCTGCGTTCTCTCTCTCACTCTCTTCGAAAGAACTGAGCTGAAGCAGTCGAGTCAGATATCAGGTGCCAGTGAGCCAGCTCCAAACTTCCACTGAGTTACCTTACTAATGCCAGGCCAGCATCACTTCTGCTTGAGATAGTCCAGGGCCACGTTCAATCAGTCATTACTGTATGGTAGGAAGATTTCAAACTTCACCCTTTGAGTCACTTCAACAAGCCCCCGGCCATAAACGGGGTGCCCAGTCACTACAATAATGGGCACCTCATCCAGTCACAGACAATCCACCTCCCAGACTCCGAACTCAAATGTTTCATTTCCCAGCTACCATTAAGTTAAGAAACTCCGTAGCTACCTAACTAGTAGTACAAGTCCTACAAATATGCTTCATGTCGTCCACGCCAGCCACGAGTCACGACCACCAAATTTCCCCCAGCCTGCAGCATGTGAGTGATGATCCTCTCTAACCCACCAACCCCCGCCAGCCCGCAAAGAACGCCGCTAAATCATCCCGGGCCGACCCAGTAGGTAGCCTAACAACAACCCCATCCCTTCCCTTCCCTATCCCGGAAACGCCATGACGAAAGTAGCGGAGCTCAAAGGGGGCGCGGAAGCAGCTTCGTCAATGTCTGTGAGTGTTGTGTTGTATTGTACAACGCCCATCCTGTTGACAAACAACAGGTTATGCTCCCGTAAGAAAGCAGGCGCGGCTGTAGTGACCCAGGATGTGACCGCTATCACTCTGCCTCCTGCTTGCCCATTTGCCCCCAAGCGGCCAACCACACAGCCCTTGCAATCTACCATTCGCCCAGCAGTCAAGGCAGCAAAAAGCAGTCAAGCCGCATCAAGCTGCTCTCAGAGGGCCCAATGGTCGCAAGGGAAACCAACCAGTCCCGGAGTCAGGTGGTGCCGCATTTTCCACCTCATCCTTTAGTAGTCCAGAGACAACCAGGCTGCCCGCCCCTAGCAGCAGCAGAAAGCAAGGGGCACGTCTTCACCAACAATACCAACCACCCACCCAAACC